TCTCACAGAGTGGGAAACTATAAGGGCTGCGCGGCCTCGTTCAGCTCAGAATCGACCATATAACACTTCCTGAGGCCACACATATAATCAGCACCTGCACACAGTAACGTATAAAGTCTCTCTTTCCCTGAAAATGAAAATAAATGAATGCGACGAAGTTTGAAGAGTGATGTAATTCAAATTGCATCGATAGAGATTCATTAAATCCTAATCTTTGTGATTAAAAGACTCAATGTAAGTACATAAGTACTCAAAGTAACGATTTAAGGTCTGTTTTCACCACACCCATTTCCAAATATGCACAGCCAAATGTCATGTTTATTATTTTTTAAAGAAGTCCTGCTTTTGCTGCATATTCCCTCCAAGTTTTCCACAAATCTAAAACTACCAAAATCAGAGGTTGGTGCAGGAAGTGGACCCTCCCCCCACAGCACATTTACACTCCTAGTGAAACCTGAGCCACAGGAAGTGGTCCTGTGCTGCATCATGTCAGGACACACAAATTATTCACCATTTGAAAAAAAAAGCACTTTTTTGGTCCCCTTCTTCCCTCTCTCCATATTTTCCTACTCCCCCTCTTGTCTTCTTCTCTCCATTTATTGTTTTCATTCCCCGTCCTCCTGAGAGTCAGGAAGACAAAAAGCTTTGCTACCTGTGTTATCTCAAAATGAGCCACATTCAGCTTAAAGGGGGAAAAAAAACTGCTGCTGTGGTTGTACAGGCCCCAAAATTCCGGGAAATATTCTTGCAGTTTTCCCTGAGGACTTGAGGTATTCCTGTCCACAGTAACCCCATAACACTTTAGTGGAATTTTCTAAATGGAAGTAAAGCAGGTTTATATGAGCCCTTTCAAAAAGTGATGGAGGGATCTACCTTATCTCTGTAGTCGTTTTACACCAGTTATTCATTGTTTAAGAAAGTGACTAACAGGAACTTTTTGAGTTTGTGTTATAAAAATAGACTAAAAATACAACAAAACCCACCCAGCACATAATGTGGGCAATAAAACTGTAAAAATCTCCTTCCACTGACCTCACCACTGAGCAAGTCCAGTCAAAACAGGATGACAAATAAAGTATTCTATTTTTGGAATGAAACACGTGGACATTTAACTAGTAAATTAATATAGTTTGCACAGAAAGTCCTCACCCACAGAACATTTACTTTAATTAAACTGTAAAGCATAATGAAGCTGTGAGCAAATTTAGGTAAGCAAAAAGCTTTTTTTTCTCTCTTTTAGCTGTCCACATGCACTGATTTAAACCTCAAGTATCACAATGCTGATCGCCAGACATCTTTTAGTAACAACCTCTTGTTGCTGAGCCAAATACAACCCAGCATGGCAGTAATATTTGGAATTACAACTTCAGCTACTCCCAAAAACAATCCTGTTGCCTGTCCTGTTACTTCTTTGGATTTGAGACATTGTTTGGAACTCAGTACAACACTCACACGTTTGTTTTAGTCTTTTCTCTGTGTTAAAGTGTCACATAAACTGTTGTTCCATCATCAAGGATCTTGAACAATGCTTTCCAAATTTCATTCATAAAGCCTGAGCAGCTCTCACTTAAATGATCTGCTGTTTTCAGCAGTTACTAGTATCATTATGGTAATTACATGGTCTAATGTTAAAAATGGGCTAGTGTTTCAACAGTTTTAGAATGGACTTTTATTATTTTTTGTCTTATATTACTGTAAAAAGAAGACGAAAAAAAAATGTGCATCGTACAAAGGTTGGACTCATCAAGAAATATGATCTCATGACAGGACCATATTGTTACAAAAGTCGTGTTTCCTTAAAACTATGGGTCCCTAAAGCTGGTCTAGACAGTCTAGACAGTTGCTCTTTGCAGCTGTGCAGCACTCTTAAGCAAACACTAAAAGTTCATTCCTACAAAGAAGGATTAGGTAGTATGAGGGTAGCATACCATTTCCAGGTACCTGTTTTCTAAGCTTATAATGCAGTGACAGACGTTTAAAGATAATCACATTTGCAAATGTCCTCAGAAGAAAAATGTTGATTTTCAACACAGAAATCAGCACACAAATATACAAAATCCGCGTGCATCATGGGAAATACATTCTGTTGACTGATGACAGTGGGACAGGGAACATTTTTTGGTAGATATTATCAATCAAATACTGGGACGGTGTACTGTGTTAAGTGCACGTTGGAAGAGTAGTGACCAGGCACACTTTCCCCTCAGGCAAGTGGTCAGGGGACAATTGAGGGCTCACACACAAGCACAAGCACACACTCAGCTCCCTTCACACATCCACCGGCCCACAATTGGATTGTGAAATAAACATCTCACTCCGTCATACCTCTGGGCTACTTGGCCCGCTGGCCCACCCCGGTGACCCTTGTTACTGCGGTGGTTAAATATTGGGAGCCCTCATCTGCAAACATTTAGCCAGTGTCACCCCTAATCTGCCTTGTGTCGCCGGGCCACCGTGGACTCCACAGGAACCCACCTAGCCACTCACACACAGTGAAATATGTCACAGAGAAATTACTAAATTGTCTAGTTTACAGAAAATGTCACCTAATTTGTCAGAGGAACATTTGTTACGAGAGAGGAAAATTTTTCTTCCTTTGGTTGAATAGGAAAATATTCATATTTTTTTATGCCTAATTTCAACCACTCAGAGTTGCAGATGGCTTTATCCTATTCCTACTAACACTGTAAAAAGACAGGGAACACCTTGGACAGGTCAACGATGCAATAAAAAGCCAATACAGAGACCGTCAGTTTAGAATTGCTAATCAACAAAATATGTGACCATGGGATGCTCAGACCTATTTGTTGGGTAACGAGGCAGTAATTGTTTTCTTTTCTAGGTTCAAAAAGTGCCATTTTGTTGGGTTTCCAACAATGTGGATCTGTAGGGTTCATTTCCTCTTTCATTAAATTAACCACTAGCTGCCACCTTCCGCCACCTGACCTCTGAAGTCTGACACACCGGTCCTTGTCCTCCAGGCCACGCCATCATGATCCCTGTCGCTCCAGGCCATTTGTTTGCTTACAAAGCAATGAAACAGAATGTATTATTTCTACAACTAAGATATTGTTGTCTTCAAATGATGAGTAAATCCAGAAAAGCTGAGCAGCTCGCTTGCCGTTACATGTTAATGTTGCGTGTTACAAGTTGAAATGTTAAAAATGGCAGCAAAAACGTGCTAAAAATCATGAAAAAGAAACACTCAGACTTTGCGTTGTGCTTCTGAATCGAGTGGTCTTCATATGGCCTCCTTCGGCCAAAATATTTTCTCACATGACAAACCGGAGCTGGTAAGACAAAAACCAAAGGATGGTTTGGTTTAAATCAGTTCCAACTTTTTAATTTGCTGAGAAGTTCACAGTACAAACAAATCAAATAAAAACGGACAACAATACAAAGTCATTCATTGAACTCCACTATCATCTCATATATTGCATTAAAACACAGACAGTAAGAAATGAATAATTCATTCTGTGAGAGCATTTGAATTCCTTTCTTGGAGATCTCCCCCTAACTGCTCTAAAAGCTCCCAGACATTGATTGATAGTGACCTCTAGTGGACAAAGTTAAGTACTACAGGGAAGAATTAGCACGTTGTCGAGCATATTCTTCCAACTCACTTTGGATGTGTTCAGGTCGGTCACGTGACCCCATTTCCTTTTGCATTAGTCACTATCATTCAAAAATCAAAGTTCACGCGGTGCATTCACGAGCACACCTCCCAAAAGGTTGATAAGCAAGTTACTGTTTTCTTTGTCCCTGCACACAGGAAATAGATTGGATACATTCACAGAACACAATATAAAACCACAAATGAGCTTATCACATGTTTTTCTCATGAAAGGCCTTGAACTCATAAAGTATGGGAGTAAAGTCTACTGTTAGTTGTTGCCTCAGGTGCTTCCGTTTTTGTGTACATGTCTGTGACAGAAGGAAGGAAGGACTAACTGTCAGAGAAAAAAACATAGAGGGAAAAAATTCCTTTCTTTTGGGTTCATGTGGACATTGAGAGAATGGACAAGCTGCTGTGTGTACTCCACTCTCTTGGACATGGGAGAGTCAGAAAACTGCTTTTGCCTCATTGGTCACAGCTGTGTGTCTCAGGTGCTGCTCCATCCACGTTTAGACAGTTATTGTGACAAAGAGCAGGACAAAAATCTCTGTTTTTCTGTCTCTGTGTTGCCACCCCACCTGTCTGCTGCTCCTAAACAGGCGGTGCAAAGTTTAGCTGAGGTTAATTAGGTCTCTCTGGGGCAACGAATTATGCATTACCGGCAGATCTGCAGGCACAGACTGCTCGCTAGTCTTTCTGGTTTATTTTTTAACTTACATGCATATCAGTTAAGCATGCACCTGTAGTGGTGGGAAGTTGGAGGAGCACACAATCAAAAAGTTTCTGTATTATCATTGTTTCACTAGTGATGGCATTTTAAAAAATCAAGGTGGAGATATTTTCATATCTCATGCATAATTGTATGTGTAAATTCAGCACCACAAACAAATTTCTATAGATGAATCATGCATTTGTGTTGAACCTTGCACTACAAAAATGTTGGTAAAGTTAAAATTTTCCAGATCTATGAAATAATTTACTTTCCACTAAACTATACATGAAAGAAAACGTAAAAACTATGAAAGCTGCATTATCTGAAATTATCCTAATGCCGACTAAAGAATATTCTGCAGATAGGTTACGTGCAATGAACTGAGTTCAATTTTATTGTCATTAAAAAAGAAGGGTGAACATTTTCAGAATTTTGTTTTATTTCAGATGATTAACTTTTTTAAAAATCAAATGCAATTTTTGACCATCTTTAAAGAGTGTTTATTTATTTATTTGTTTGTTTGTTTATGTTAAGGTAATTGACATAACTGGAGTCAATAACATAAAAAAGGAGTCATCCGTGGTTATATGGGTCGGTCAATCTTGATTATCGTTGCATATTGCGTCATCACCCTCCAGCCAATGGCATGGCGAGGTCCACAAACGAGGCACCCAAGACGTAAACCTTGCAAACATGGCGACGCTCCGAAGAGAGTACGGAGGTTGGGAATACGAGCGCTTTTAACGGAGAAAATAAACTCTACTGCGCCTCTTACGATGTGGTGGGGTTAGCCTGAACCATCCCACGCACAGCTTTTTAGACCATGTTTGCAGAGGTGAGTCGGCGCCGGTGAAACAGACGCCCGTGTCGTCAGAGTAGTTTGTTTTCCAGCGGTGGACGCGGCTAGTTAGCTTGAAGCGACCAGCGTCGTCGGGTTAGCCCGGCAGGTAAACAGTGTCTGACAGCGGGGGAGAGGACGGCAGGCAGCCGCTGTGCCTTCAGAGAGACTGGCAGCTATAAGTGGCTGTCATCCCCGGATTACACAGTTAACACGAAGTTAATACGAGGAGCTTAGGCTATCCGCACTGTCAACACTGCGTTGGAATTAGCTGGACACAGGCAATGTCAGTAGTATGCGAATAGATTATGATTACGGTCCGTAAATTTCGAAATTCTACAATACAGCAAATACAGGTGAGCTGGGCGTTAGCGGTGCACACGGCTAGAGAGGCTAAACCCAAACTTACCGACACAATGAAGCAGTTTCGCCACAGAACAAAGTACCGATACCACACATTTGCAGTTGTAACCCTGTTGAACGAGTCGCGACAGCAGATACGTCGTATTTTTGTTTTTACGTCGTTGAAAAATATGGAGCAGGTATACAAAGCTTCCCATGAGGATGTTTTCGGTGTAAGCTGTCAGTCAGAGGGAGTCTGCCTCTCTAGTCGGGCACAAGCAAGTTGTCAAAATCAGACTGGTGTTGGAAAATGAAAAGGTTGTATGGAGTGTGTATTGGTGGCCAGCAGGTGTGGAAAATGTCAGCGTGATTTGTAATTACTTGGAAGTTTTGCTACAGCTGTCACGTGATGGCTTTCCTCCTTTACCTGAAACAGACAGACTCAGTTCACTAGCCATAACATCAGTTGAAATAATTATCCTAAAGGTATGTAACGTCTGTCCTGTGGATTTGGGAGGAAATGGGTGGTGATAGTGGGACTCATTTGTTTGCAAGCCATCACATAAACATTTCACAATGGCTGCAATTGAAAACTGAGTAGTCTAACACATTAACCGTGCAGCCAGCTGTGGATTGTTGCTATCGATTACCTGTAGATATGCCTTAAAGCCATACTTTTGCTATATTTAAAAATAACCTTCCTAAAAGACAGAGAGATTTAACAACACAGGCAACCTATTGAAATAGTTTAAACTCCTATATGTCACTGAGTTTCAGTGATCCGGCAGACGCTTCTGAACAGTAACAGGATGTAAGCTTTATGTATCGGTCATCTAAATAGCCCGCATCATCCTCTGGAAAAGCCACATCAGTCAGGCCCTGTTTGTGGGGCAGCAGCTGCACTGCATTCCTCACGTTCGACAGGCTCTTCTGATTTGGGTGTAATGTACAGTCAAGTGTTAAAGTTTATCTCAGAAGTTTAGAGCTGCTGCACTCTGGTAACCTCGTTCACAAAAGGGTGATAGGCCTGCGTTGGACTTTCCTTGAATCAGTATTGACTCTAAACTACCACTTGCTGGCTCAGCTCCCAAGTTTTGATTTTCACCATTATTTGGTACAAGGAGTGACAAGCTCTTTGTCTGATTGATATGATTGTGTTACTTGATTTCAGCTGCTTTTAATCATGTAAGGTTTTGGGCACAATCTTGAAAATCAATGATTCGTCTGTAGTGGCAGCATATTTTACCAATATCCACCTCCTACAAGTTACTAAGAATCTTATGAGTTAATAAAAAAAAAATAATAAAAAAAAGACCTTAGAGTTTACTTGTTTAGCTTTGTGACTAACTCCATGAACTTAAATATCAATGGGCAGTCCATCTAAATATCAATCAGTGAAAACCAGTCGGTCACAAGCCGGCGGCTCCCTCAGGCCGGTGCCAGATGAGGAAGCCAAACTGTGATTGAGAATCGTTTTGTGGTACAGAGGGATAAAGAAATATTTATGCTCCGGTGATTCGGTGGTAATCTGACAGGCCTAACTGCAGAGGACCTCTTCCCCTCTGATGACTTGATTAATTCATCTTCTTTACAGCAAGTTGGTTTCTCATCCAAAGGCCAACCAACTTTTGTTGCTGCTTTTCAGTCCTCGCTAAACCTAAGTAAGCTGTCTTAATCAAAGCTTGGTTAACATTGAGGCCAGCATGCAGTAACATGGAGCCTGCAGGTCCAGCTCTCCTCCCTTCCTGCGCTCATTAGAGGTGTTTGTCCTGCCAAATAAGCTGACAGCTCTCAAGAATTAAGACTTGTTTAGGCCTGTTTTTTTCGGTCCAGATATATCTTCACTATGTGTAAGGTCATGGTGACAGAGTGCAGTATACATGTGGTATCAAAATGAGATTTGTCACCACTCTTGATTGAATTTAGCTTTATTTTATGTATCATTTGACTTCAAATTGGTAAAGCTGCTAAACTTTGCTAAGCCAGGGAATCAGTCTCCTGATTGCTTCTGTGTTCCAGTTTGAGGTTTTCAGGGTAAGAATGGAGCTACAACTAAAGACCCAGACAGATCAAACTGGACAAAAATATCTTAAAGAAAAAGGTGTTTCTTAGGTAGTCTGTCATTAAGGACCAGCCACCTTCATACGATGGAACAGGTATGAAACACTTGTGAGATTTCAGGGATTCATTATCCGTTTATATTTTATTTTAGCTATTTGTATTTATTTGAACAGTCTCAGACATTTTTTATATCCTCTTCCTCTTTAAAAAAAACAAACAAACAAAAAAAACTCGGCATGAACCCAATTTTCATAAGATGGCAACTTGCAAGAATGCAATCAGCTAAATTTAACAATGTTTTCTAAATGAAAGGCCTATTTTCGACTCTTTAATTTTTGTAGGAAACATTTACACTCTGGTCTTATTTGGAAATTAAATTAAGTCATGAACTTCACTCATTTCAGGGATTTAATCCCAAAATCTAAGTAGCTGGGCTTTGTGCTGTGGTGGTCTTTTTGGATTACACTAGCATGATCAGACAGCTCTGTGTACTTTCTCTTCCTCTAAAGCATTAACCCTGGATTTCCCACAAGAGCTTTCAGTGAACTGTATTAACCTTTTGCCCAATCACATCAGTGCACTGGTTCCCAGCTCAGCACGTGTTAACTCTGCTGAGTCAGAAATAGAAAAGCTATCTTTAGTGTGGATTGATTTGTGTTCAGTTTGCATAAGGAATTAGGGGAATTGATTTATCACAGTACAACCGAATGTAAACAATATTAAACATGGAAGCTTTCTACGTTCGATATTTTTTTGTAATGCTTCTCTGGGTTCTACTTAAAAACTTTTGAACAATGGACGCTGCAATGATACTTGGTACTTTTGAAAATTCAAATGTGTATTTTAGCTGTAGTATTTTGTTCATAAAAAAGTGTCATCCGTAGTCTGTGCCTGATCCCTGGTCTTTCTATGTTTGATTGTTGATTGAGGAGCTTTAGGTTAACACTGTATGTTTTTCAGTGTACTTTGTGAACAAAACAAAGGATTATGTCACTTCAAGACTCTCTGTCCATTCAGCTTGTGCATATTAGCCTTTTTTAGTGCGAGTTGTGTAAGGAATTGCCTAGAGCAGTGTTTTTCAACCCCTGGTCCTCGGTACACTAGTGTGCCGTGAGTGATGGTCAGGTGTGCCGTAGAAAATCATCCTATTTCACCTAATTGGTCTAAAAAAATGTTTTGATAAGGAATTAATTATCTGCAAATAATAAGCCATTTTTGAGTGTCTGTGCTGTTCTAGTGACTGATGGAGTAATCATGTTATAATTCCTTATGACTAGATTTTGTATATAATTTTGCATATTGGAGTGGACATGTTTTTGTCAATTTGAAAGAAGAAATATGAAATATGATAAAAATACATTTTTGTGTTTATTTGATTCCTATTCAAGACACTTAAGATAAGATCAGAATAAAATAAGAATAACTATAGTGTTACTATAGGCCGCTACAGATTTGTTTGACATTTTTGGATGGTGGTGTGCCTCGAGATTTTTTCAATGAAAAACTGTACCTCGGCTCAAAAAAGGTTGAAAAACACTGGCCTAGAGACTGAGACGTGTGCATCCCCAACGGACTTGGGTGTTAATCACTGGAACAGATGGTACATGTTTTAAACCCTGTGTAAGCTGTAATGACTCAGGAGTGTCAGTTATCATCTCTTCCTCCAGAGCCAAGCCCTCACAAACTCATCACATGGCCCATCCAAAGGCTTCCACATCCAGTGCAGCTCATAGGGACGGATTAAGTAAGACCTGGCTAATTTAGCTGTTTTAGTTACTTTTTCTTTTAGAGAATCACAGCATTATATTAAAATAAATTGATTGATTCTTCTTACATGTGGAACATTTCTAGTTTTTAACTTATTTTCTGTCAATTGAACTATCACATAACAACTACAAATCCCATCTCCTCTTTTGTAAAATCCCATGCCATACAGGTTCAGTAGCAAACAGACAGAGCAGTTAGTCCACACACCTTCTGTGTATAAGGCCAAGCTTTTGTTTACTGAGTTATGGTATTACAGCTTTGTCCTGATGGGATAACCGTGGGCCTGTTAGAAAACATGTCCAGTTAATAGGGACATCTACGTCTCCTGCCCCCCTGCATCAGTGGTGCCGTTTTCATTGATCTTGTTTCTGTTCAAGTGAAGATGAAAAAGATTGCAGATTTAATTTGACAAATTTTTGGAAATGAGATTTGGATTCCAGTACTTATAGTCTACTAATAAATCTGGTGGAAACGCATAATGTAGTTTGTTATGAAACTCCCCAAAATGGTCTGTTATCTGTAACAGTCTTGTTGGGTTTGATTTATTCTCAGTTTTCTCAGTTTTTCAGAAGGGATAAACAAGTAGTTGCTGCTTGGGGTTAACGCAGACAGAACACTTCATTATAAGGCTGTGAACTCGTGTTAGCGACCTGTTGGTACCTACCAGAGCACCAGGGATGATGAGTGTCATGACTTTGTGGGACTGGTGAAACCTTTGGATTGCTTGGAGAAGCGACTCAGTTCAGACCCGTGTCAGTTCAGGACACCACAGTCCATATAGGATCGTCAAAGTTTGTGGTATGCAATGAATGACTCTCTAAATAGCATGTTTACACTCCAAGCTCCCTGTAATAATAGTGCCTTTCTGTCACCACCTCTACTTCACTTCCCAATGCTGCTATCAGTGCCTTTGTTCTAGCCATTCAAGACTTGGGGGAAGACGTAGTAGTCTAGCCAGTTCGGACACATTCTGTTGACAGGGCACCAGAGGTTCACGTGTCCTCATGGCGTCTAGTTCCTGTCCGCACTTGTAATGGCCTTAACTTCATAAGCACATTTCTTTCCATGCTGATGTTTTTGGAAAAAATATGTTGAACCTCGCTGACTTTTTGAGAGAATGCATAATCTTAATCATAGAAGATATTGTTTACAGAGCTATGACAGACAATGCAATCTTAATTTGATTCAAAATAGTTACTGTAAGGGTTAGATAGATGGATGGATGTACTTTATTGATCCCAAGCTGGAAAATTACGGTGCAGCAGCAGCAAGGGTAAGGGGCAAAAAATTAAAAAAGCAATAAAAGCATAAAAAATATTGTAAAGAGATTGCCCCTTGAGTGTGCTATCATCCAGGTGCTTTAACAAAAGGCCAACCTCAGTTCCTTACACACTTATAATAGTCAGCCCTGTAATCTGATTCCTGGTCTTCCTCCAGTGAAGTTTCAAAGTTACTTACAGTCCTCTGTGTATCGTTTCCTTCAAGGTGTGCTCAGAAATTGTGCTCGTTTAATATAGCGACCCACATCTTTAAAACCCGTTCAGCGGACATTTTCTCTTCCTCCACTCATGACCAGTCTTGTTGTCTGACTGCTGATGGTTGTCAGTGACAAATGACGGTGACCATTTTCCCTGTGTAGCGCTAAATTGAAGCTTAGCTTGTCAAATGATGATTATCTTTATAATCTGAGCCACTTTCTCTAGTTAGTTTGTTATCCGCTGTGAGTTATTGGACCCCTGGCCAGACTGCTACCCATTGTTTTTGTCCAGTCATTTTCTATACGTGCCAAACCCATTTCGGGATTAGGCAGATATTCTGGAGATAGTCCCATTTCTGGAGCCTGTTTCAGCTGGGTTGAGAATTAAAACCCACTGTGAAAGGAGCTGTCAGCAGTTAAGATGTGAACAAGATCAGCCCATTTTAGAGGTCGACTATAGAACTGCTGATATGTTTGCCCCTGCGCTCTTAATATGCCATATTCTTTTATTATTAGGACATTTTTTAGAAGGCTTCACTGGGACACTAGTGTACAGCTCTGGCATGCTACGAATTTATCCAGAACAAAAGCTACTGTTTAGTGAAAAGTGTTAGCGAAAACTCTGGACCCGTTGGCAGTGTCATTACTCACGAATGGCTACTAATATGTCCACTAGCTTCAGCAGTCCAATAAGCATAGCTTCTCATTAGCTTGTCTGTGAAGAACTAATGCCAATGCTATACATAGCAAACTGACTGGCCTATTTCTAAATGTGACATTGTTGGCAGCTTGTCTAATGTGTGTCAACCAATTGGCCAAAGCTGACTGTGGCATTGAGAACAATGGGTCAGTGTCCTAGCGAAGCTCTGTCTGCTGCTATCTGGCTCCACCGGTGAGGCGTTTTATCTAAGGAGCTCTGGTGGGAATGTAGGGCAAGTGAAGATCACCACGTCTGTGCTCTGGCTCTGTGTGGTGGCATCGCATTCAGAGTGACGAGCCTTTTATGCCGGAAAAAACCTGGATCTCTTTCTCCCACTAGATAAGTTTGTGTTTTGCATAATAACCTCTGACACAACGTGTACTGGCATACTTTGCTCAGGTGGTTTAGTCCATCTGGCCCCGACTCGGTAGTCGACTTTAAGGAGCACTTCAACAGACCTATCCTTCATCTAACAACTTTCAGCATCCGTGCGCACTCTGGAGACGTAAAGAGAAAAGTTTTCTGGTGTTGCCATCATTAATTGTCTCTCTCCGTGAGCTGAGAGAGGCTAAAAGGAATAGAATAACCTACATGGAGAAGTAGGACAGAATTGTTAGCTTGAATCTGGAGCTTGGTTTCCTGCACTGACAATAACAGGAAAATCAAAGGATGTGACACGCAGACGTGCACCTACACGCACACACAGCAAAGATCTGTGTGGGATTCAGCACAACACGCACGGTGGGCCAGCGTCTCTGCAAAGCTGGATTTGACTTCCGATCCTGTTGTCAAGGCCACTGATCTCCTGATTCAGTCTAAAGTCAGCCAGGGGAATGACGGGCACAAACGGCCAATGAATCTGCATTTTTGGGAAAGCCAATCATTACAAAAGGTTTTGAATTGGCCTAGGTTAGAAAAGCTGTGTCTTAAAATCAAAACTAAATGCATCTCTTTTCTCAATTATAGCCAGTTTTTGCGCCTTCGAGTGGCCATCACTCACCCATCCACTTCCCCCTTGCTTTTACCTCTTGTTATTACTGTGATTAAAAGTAAGCAATTACTCAGACACGTGGCTTTTTGAGAGCGTGGTGTGAGAGGATAAACGAGAGAGGCTCCAGCATATGCACAGCGGGGATTATTGTTTGTAGGGCTGGATGTTACAACAGCGCTTTTCTATTAAACGGTCATTCCTGCCATGCCTCCGGACAATATTTCTAGTGTATTCTGTTAAATTGTTTTAACTATCCCAGTATGTGAAACGAAAAGTCATGATCAGGCCACATTTTTGTTGGGCAGTTGACTTAAAAATATAAGCTCGTTGGAGTTTTAACATCTTTCTTCTTCGTTTCAGGCCAGTCTGTCCATATTGGGATGGGGGGGTCTTGGAGTTGTGCTGTTCCTGGTCACTTTTGGACCTTTTGCCATATTCTACCTGGCCTTTTATATCTTCTGCTTCATTGGAGGGTAAGCACATCACAGCTGCAGCCTTTCCCTGTAACCCCAACCCTTCCTGGCTGTATAATTATTTGCCTCAATTCAAACATTTATTCTTTCTTTCAGGGGTTTTGTGGTCACTTTGCTTTATGGAAAGATAAACTCAGAGAAGCACCTGGAAAAATGCGAGCACTCTTACCTGGCACCCACTCAGATTGGTATAATGAAGGTAAGGGCAGCACCCCGTTTGGCCTCACCCACACAAACAAACGATTCCATTATGAATCCCTGTTGTCTTTGACATCACTTAAACCTTCAGTGATATCATAACTCACAGCTTTCGTTGTGCACTCTGTCTCTCAGACACTGGATGAAATGAAACTGGAGATGAAGCCCATAAGGATTGACAGGAGACTGACTGGCTCCAGTTTCATTGATGAGCCATTACAACAGGTGTGTGTCTGTGCTTTTCTATTCTGAGTGCAACTTCCTGTGTTTTGGCCACGTTTTAGAGCTAAAACTGGAACAATTTAAGGTCTTAGTTAAAATAACAAGGTGAAAATGACAATGCTTTAGTTGAATTGTTGGGTGCCTTTTAATCATGTTACTAGTAAACACAGACAGTGCAGTTTTTGTTTATTGTTGTTGTTTATTTGTTTCCTATATTTGACAAATATCCCACTTTGTACAGGTTTAGGTCCTGCAACTCACTTTGTCCCAGAGTAATTAGTATTTTAGAAAAACATTTAATACTTCCTGCCAAAAAAAAGCTTTTATGATTTATTCATTCTTTTCATAATTTCCTTTTTTAAAGAAATGGAACTGAAACCTTTCTGTCCCGTTGCACCAAAGATTTTTTTTTTTCACCGCGTGCCTGAAGTAGACAGAAAAGACACATTTGTGACAGGATTTTCTAGATTGCCTGTCAGCAGTGCCGATAGGGAACATGAGCTTTGAGAACTTCTGTGGTTGTAACACGTACGGTAAAAAACACTCTTATCATGTTGTCCTCAGCAAAGAAGCATGGCAAGCGAGAGTTAAGTGCTGACACAGCAGTTAGTGATGGTCAGATGACTCTGACTGGTCTACCATGGCGTCTCTGTGCTGCCCTCTTCCCCACAAGTGCACGCTGATCATTTCAGCTACATGGGATCCAGCTAAAAGAGGCCTCTTTCATTCTTTATTTCTTTCTAAAAAAAAAAAAAAAAACTTCTTAAACTTCGGTAAATGCACTAACTCAACAGGTTGCCTTCTGCGCTGGTCTGTGAACAGGCTTCTCTTCACTAAAACCACGTAACGTCCGCAGCCAAGCATTCATGGATTCCTCTCCTTGTTTTTTTTTCTTTCTTTTTTGCAGGTGATCCAGTTTGCGCTGAGGGACTACATCCAGTACTGGTACTACACGCTGAGCGAGGACGACTCCTTCCTGCTGGAGATCAGGCAGACGCTGCAGAACGCCCTCGTCCAGTTCTCCACACGGTAGGACAACGCGTGCCGGCACCTAGTCCCTCACCTGTCAGTGTGTACCAGTGAGTAAAACGCTGCTGTGTGTGTGTGTGTCCAGGTCCAAAGAGGTGGACTGGCAGCCTTACTTCACCACCCGCCTGGTGGACGACTTTGCCACCCATTTACGTGTCTTCAGAAAAGCCCAGGATCGCCTCATCGACAGAGAGGACAAGCTAAGTAGGACATGCTCACGCTTGGTTTCTGTCTCGCACATCATGTCTTTGTCATTTCTGGCTGCAATGAGTGGGATCGTATGTGTGGTGACTCTAAAAGCTGCTGCTATGCACATAAATGTCTCTTTTCAAAAAGCCAGAAATGACAATGTTGAGTGATGTATATTTTATATGTATGTATGTATGTATATACATATTTTTTATTAAATGTTTTTTTTTTAAACAGGAGACATAACAGAAGAGCTTGTGGAGTCGTTCTTTGAAGCCGAGGTGGAGATGGAAAGAAAGATCTGCCGCGATGTGGTCTGCACCTCGCACAAAGACGAGGAAGGTACGAGGCGCTGTGGCGTTTCTAGCCGCCGCCCGCGTGTGGAGGCCAGGAAACCCAAACGCTCTGCTCTGTTTGTCAGGATTTCTGCGGGACCTGTGCGAGCTGCTGCTGTATCTGCTACTACCTCCTGGAGATTTCCACAACAAGAACATGAGATACTTCCTGAGGGTCAGTGCACAGAGTTACACATGCGATCACATAAAAAGCCATAGAACGGCGCCAACTGATGGCGATGGAGCCGGCGGCTGACCAATCCGAGACGCCCCTCCCATTTATTCCCGTGTCACTTCTCACGTTGTTGAATATTCTGTTGTGTTTCAGGAGGTGCTGGCACGTGGCGTGCTGCTGCCTCTGATCAACCAGCTCAGTGACCCCGACTACATCAACCAGTTTGTCATCTGGATGGTGAGAATCCAAACATAACCCCCTACGTCCAGGAAACAGTCTGTCCACGGCCAACTCAGTAACTGGGTTGTGAAATCGGGAAGAAGATAAGAAATGTTTCATTTTTCTGTCCAGATTCGGGACTCCAGCTGTAACTACGAAGCCTTTATGAACATCCTGAAGTTAACAGACAAGCCGGCCGAGCTGGAGGCCGTCAAAGACAAAGTTCTGGAGGAGCTGCAGTACCTCCGCTCGCTGGACACTGCGGGAGACGGTGAGCTCTGACTCTTTCCGGCCCAACACGAGCCTTCGTCCTACACACCACGTTCGCAGCATTGACAAAAGCTCTGGTTTTCTCAATTCTTTAGACATCAATGTGATCAAGAATCAGATCAACAGCCTTTTATTTGTGAAGAAGGTGTGTGAGACCAGAATCCAGAGACTACAGTCTGGCAAGGTAAGAAACCAGCCCTGTTTCTAGTTCAGACTGGAGAATTGGATTTAAACACACAGAGCTGAAAGTGAATGTTCAGCTTGGTTTTCTCTGCGTCAGAGTGTGCTCATGTCCCCGTCTTCTATAGGAAGTTGACACTTTGAAGCTGGCAGCCAACTTTGGGAAGCTGTGTGTTATCCCGCTGGATCACATCCTCGTGCACAACATAGCCCTGCAGTTCTTCATGGGTACTTGTGAAAACGCACCGCATTTCCGCTCACTCCTCAACATTTCTGTGCATCCTCCTCATGACCCGTCAATGATTCTATTGACCAACTGCCTAACCCACACCACTCGCATTAGACATGCTCCCACAACGTCTCTCATGACCTCGCCGGGGATTTTCAAAGCTCACTCCACTTCACGGGTCAGATTACGATGCCGTGTGTGTACATACTAAGAGGCCAAGTTGTGTCAGATCTGGTCTGGAAAAGAGCCAACGGATTAAATTTGCAGCTAAATATATCATCCAGCATTCATGAATGTAGAATTACGAATTTTCTAAATACTTTTGTCAGATGAGCTCATTCCAAAACACTGAATTGTTACTTACTAAAAAAAAGAGTTTCAGTTCCAGTATTGTTAGGGAGAAATAATGAAAAATTAAATACATTTTTTGGGCTCTGTGTAATAACTGCTAGTATTAAGAGCCCGCGGCGTGGTGTTTACAGATATAGGTGGTGACAGTAGAGTGTTATTTATGGCATGTGCCACTTTAGGGGTAAAATACTAGGAGCTAAACTTTTAAAGCGCCGACTGCTATCGGTTTCCATCGGCAACTGAAACATAATAGCGGAGCCATGCCATCTGGATCAGCCTGGTTGCTTTGCTCCAGACTTCATGCAGGCCGCGGGGGCCCAGGCCGAGCTCTTCTTCTGGCTGACGGTGGAGGGCTACCGGGTGACGGCGCAGCAGCAGCTGGAGGTGATGCAGAGCTGGCAAAAAGACGGCACCAAGCAGCCCAGCGCTACCAAGGGGCTGCTGAAGGCCGCCGCCCTGGGCGTCTACGAGCAGTACCTCTCCGAGAAGGTGGGCTCCGCCTTCAGGCCTCTCACAGGCCCAACATTTTAGGAGCAATATGGCTGCCATCGTGACAAACTGTGACCCCTCCGTGCTCCCACAGGCGTGTCCCAAGGTCCAGGTGGATAAGGCCCTGGTGGCCAAACTGGGCGAGATGCTACAGATGACGGACGACCCCACACCCGACATATTCGATGAAATCCAAAGGAAGGTACTAAAAATTCTTTATTTGCAGCTGTCCCCTCTGCGGAGCTTATTTTTGGCCTGCTTCCTTTCTCTCTGCTAACGGCGCGTGTCCTCGCTTCTCCAGGTGTACGATCTGATGCTGCGAGACGAGCGCTTCTACCCCTCCTTCAAGCAGAGCCCGCTCTACGTGCGCATGCTGGCGGAGCTGGACATGCTGAAAGAGCCCAGCTACCGAGGGTCCGACGACGGCGACGGGGAGTCCTTTAACGGCTCTCCCACGGGAAGCATAAACCTGGTACGCGTCCCTTGTTAACCCGTTTCCCGGAAGGTGCTCCGTCTTCCTGCCGTGTCACTTTAGGCCGACTTCTTCCTTTTGATTTCAGTCCCTCGACGACCTGACCAACTCCTGCCACGATGAGTTTCTGCAGCTACACGCCTTCATCTCCGACACAGGTACACCCCCCCCTGCTGGACTCTGTCCAGATTGTCTGAGCCTGTGGATCCCCGCTAGCTCTGCCCTGCATGTTCTCACCTCCAAGTTTCACTGGCCTCGCATCTTTTTGTCTCACTGCTCCAGTATTCTTTATTTCACTCCATTACCTTCACTTTTTTTTCTGTTCTTCCTTTTTCCTTCCCTCCTCCTCCCACCCTCGCGTTTCCCATCATTCTGTCACACTTTTCTTCCTTTACCCCCCCCCCATCTCATTTCTGCGCACTTTGTTTTGTATTCTTTCTTTATTCTGCTCTTTCCACCTTCACATTTTGCACCTGCACACCCCCCTTCCTCCTCCTCCTCCTCTTCCTCCTACTTTGCCTTTCATCGACCCGTCCGATCCACCACCCCCCCTTTTGGATGTATTGCCGGGCGGGGTAGCTGACACTTGTGTTCCCGGCTTCTGGGCTGCTACAGGGGTCTGCAACGATCACGGTAAGACATACGCGCTGTACGCCATCACCGTGTTCAGGCGCAACCAAGACGGCAGCGAAGACTGCTGGAAGACCTATCGGCGCTACTCCGACTTCCACGACTTCCACATGAGAATCACCGAGCAGGTGAGACGGCCGAAGACAGCCGGGCCGGAGCAACACCGCCACGCCCCCGCCGCCATGTGCTTTTGGGTTGACTGTCGCCCGTTTTTCTGTCTTAGTTTGAGAACCTGGCCTCCATCCTCAAGCTGCCGGGCAAAAAAACCTTCAACAACATGGACCGAGACTTCCTGGAGAAAAGAAAAAAGGACCTCAACGCTTACCTTCAGGTACGGCTGGGCGCGTGGGCAGAGGCTCTCGTTTTTTTTTTTTTTTCTGGGTGCGTTCAGCCGAGGGGACGGGGCTCACCGTGTGTGTGTGGATGTGTTCCAGCTGCTGCTGAACCCGGAGATGGTGAAGGCCTGCCCCACTCTGATCCCCTACGTCTACGACTTCCTGGAGAACAAGGCCTACAGCAAGGGCAAAGGAGAGTTTGCACGGAAGGTACCTGAGCGGATCCGGCTGTGTCTTTCAGTCTCTGCGTGCTCCGGGGGAGCTCATCCCCTGCTCCTGTTTCGTCCCCCTGCAGATAGACACTTTTGTCAACCCCCTGCGGAGCTCCATGAGGAACGTGTCCAACGCGGTGAAAGGTCTGCCGGACAGTCTGGCAGAGGGGATGACCAAGGTCTCCGACAACATGGGCCGCATGTCCGAGAGGCTGGGCCAGGACATCAAGCAGTCCATTCTCAAGGTAGAATCCACCAACGCCGCGGCCACTCTTCACGCCGCCACATCTCACGAGCCTCAGCGTGTGCTCGGTGTGGGATCTAACTTCAGGTTTTATGCCCCAGGTGCCTCCGATGCTTCCTAAGTCTGACATCGACCCGGACCAGTGCCGAGTCTCGGCCCAGCTGGACGACAATGTGAGGAAGCCGGCGGTTTGGCTGCCAGATGTTGAGCTAGGACAGTTCAGTAAGGCAACTGGACGTGAAGTTTTCTAGAAGACGTTTGGCCTCTCATCCCAGAGGCTTTATCAGTTCTAACTGATGGGGGAGAGTACTGAATACTGTAGGCGGAACTAAAGAATTATGGGGGAAAAAAACAAAAACCAAAGGTGGCTCTGGTCCCTCCTACTGGATGGGCCATAGAGGTCACCTGGGGGAGTGTTAATGGTCGTTAGGGGCTTCTGACTGGTCGTTAACTCCCTCCTCAGAGTGGTTTTGGTCACATGCCTCTGAAGTGTGAGTCAGGTGAGGGCAGGTGAGCGCTGAATCTTCTGGGTGTTGTTCCTAAAAGTGCTCTGGAAGAAGGTGACAGGTTGTGTCTGAGGCCACCTCCTCTGTCCAGTGATGGTTTTTCCAGGCTAACAAAGATGGCTTCCTTAACCCCTCTCTCAAACTAGCTGTCTTCCTTGGCCAAAATGTGGATGTTGTTGTCCTCAAAAGAGTGTCCTTTAGCCTTCAGGTGTAATACCTGTCCTAAAACTTCACGTCCAGTTGCCTAACTAAACTTTCCAGGCTTGACCATGACCTGGATTACTGAGAATCTTCACAGATCTGCTCGATGTTGATTTTATGTCCCATGTTTGTTTGTTTGTTTGTTGTCTGTTGATGGCGTCCAGGTGGACGACAACATCCCACTCCGGGTGATGCTGCTGCTGATGGACGAGGTGTTTGACCTGAAAGAGAAGAACCAGTGGCTGCGCAGGAACATCAAGAACCTGCTGCAGCAGCTGATCAGAGCCACTTACGGAGACACCATCAACAGGTGGGAGGCGCACAAAGCCCCAAGCAGGAGCAGCCAGTTGTCAGAGAGCCCGTCTCAAACCCCGCCTCCTTTTGTTTCCCAAGGAAAATCGTGGATCACGTGGACTACATGACCTCCCCGGAGCAGGTGGCAGACTACGTCAAAAAGTTCAGGTGACCGGTCCTTTTGTTTTTTCATTTTGGTGGTTTTGCTTTGCCTTCTCATTAGTCGGGGAGATCCTGAGTAGGTTTGAATGTTTCCCCCTGTGTTCAGGGATTCCTATTGGCCCAACGGTATTCTGGCCGAGACCCCACCCCGCCGGGATAAGTGCATCCGGATGAGGACGCGAGTAGCTGCCAAGACCAGCCTTCTGGGCATCATGCCAGGTGAAAATGACCACGTTTAGGACTTCAGCGCAGATTTACTCCTCATCTCTTCCCTCTCATAGTAATAAAAGCTCATGCCTGCCCTGTTCTTCTGCTCCAGACGAGCTGAAGCACATCATCGGAGCGGACACCACCAGGAAGGGCATCCTGCGGGTCTTCGACATGTTCCAGTACCAGCCCATGAACCGGCGGCTGGCCTATGTGTTCCTGGAGGGCTTCCTGGAGACCATGTTCCCGCAGTACAAGTTCCCCGAGCTGTTCGTCAAGCTGCACTCCCGCTCGCCGCGCATCCACGCGTACGCCCAGAAACTCAAGAGCTCCTCCCTCAAGAGGTGACAGGAAAGGGCGGAGCCGCCAGGACTCGGGCACAGACTGGGAGCCCAGAGGGTTGGGGGAGGCGATGGGCAGGCCGAGGGGGCGATGTGTGCGACCTGTGCCCTCCCTCCTGTCACACACTCCTGTCGGGGAACGCTCCCGCCACCCGGCCGACTCGTTTCTGCCGGGACGGAGCTGAAGGAGGAGCACGTCCGCTCCGCCCCCCCTCTGTGACGGAAGCACGCCATGAAAGAAAAACCATAAATCCTATCATTTGCACCAAGACTGAACACGGCAGTCTGTTCTTTTAGTTTCTTTATTTACCCCTCCTTTTTTGGAGATTTTAGCTGTGTTGAGCTTCATCCTGGGCCAGCCAATGCTGCTTTCTTGTGGTCCGGAGAGCAGACCCACGAAACACTGTATTGTTTTTAAAAAGTGCAGGACTAGATAGCGTAGATCCACACCTTGCCTTACCTTCCCGCTTCAGTCCTCCATGTCAGAGCCACACAGCTGTAATCAAAAGCGCCCCCATGCGTCCGACACGCGAGCTGCAGAGGCCCTCGTCGATGTGTGAAATGTGCGTTTTCATAGCAACCAAAAATGTCAAAAGCACTGGGTTAAAGAGGCAACGTCCTGGATATGTGAGGAAACCAATATGGGTCGAAAGTTGTTTTGTTTTTGTTTTTTTGTTTTTTTCCATCTCCAGATCCCCCTCTAAAGCGTTTAGTCACTTCTACCATCTTTAATTCTCCCCTTTGAGGCTGCTGTCATAACCTGTGATGACCAAAGCTCATGCTGTTCATGTGTGTGTGTGTGTGTGTGTGTGTGTGGACTGAATGACGGCGAGATTCTCTGACCCTTGTTGTGCTTAGTATCGCTGAAGAAAGACCTCCAATAGCCTAAATCCTGGAGGCTGTAAGGGCACACTAAGGCACCTGTTGCTGCGGAAGGCACACTATTGAATGTACTCCGATCTGATCCGCTTCGGCCTCGTTTAGGCTCCTGTGCGAGTGTGTGTCTGAGTGTGTGTGTGTGTGTGTGTGTGTGTGTTCAGCACGAAGCAGCAAACCATCAGTTAGAAACTGTGCCAGTATGAGCAAATGAACCAGCCTTAAATCTCCAAACAGTACAAACTGACCAATAGACGCACGCTAGAGGGAGCTGTCCGTCACACGGCATAACCAGGAAACCCAGATCGTAGAGATATGGAGATATATCCCTAATCACTTTTATTCTAAGAAAATGTCTTTGATGTGGTGCAATATATATATTTTTTTCTTTAATGCATGTGCATTTTGAATCATTGTGTACTGAAAATAGTAATTCATATTCTTTTAATAGGAGAAAAAACACGAGACGTGTCCCCATAAATGTCTTCTTACCCTAACAACTTAACATTCCGTTGTAAAAGTACAATGTTTATGTTACAGACTTGTTTTATAAGTCTGACTTTTGGTTCGTTTGGGTCATGACCGAGTGGTGATGGGGGGAATTTCTTTTTCCATCTCACAGCTCCCATTTAGTTCAGAGAAGGCTTCGAACAAATGCTTCTTTTAACCCGTAAGTGGCGTTTTATGCATTCAAGACGGTCATGTCGAGTGCAAAGAGATCTTTATATTGAACTTATTGCTGCAAAGACACCCCCCCTCCCCCCGTGCGTGCGTGTGTCCCATCCCAATAACCTAAACTAGGTCTGATGGGTTCACAGAAGAGACTGTAACCAATGGAATCACTGCTAATGAGCACTTATTGTAGCAACTGTGAGCGTCCCGCCTCTCTCTGCCGCAGTCATCGGACACAACGCCCCGGACTGCTGTGACTCGCTTGCACTGAGCAGCCCCGGTGGACCCTGAACTCTGCAGCTTCTCATTTTGAGAGGTGAATATCGTTGTGGCCACGGTGGAGATGTCACCTTTTAACTATCTGCACACCTCTCCACGCAGGAAGGCTTGTTTTGTTTTTGTTTTTTTCTTTTAACACCATTATATATAATGAAACATTGTGCATATCTGTGTACAGTATGTGTTAATAGTGTGCCTAAATGTAATGTCAACTCTATTTTCATATTTTTCTTTAACCTAAAACAAAAACGTCAATCAGAATGTCATGATCATTTTTTGGGACTGAAAGTTGACTAGGGTGGGTTTTTTTGCATCATGCTTATTGTTTTTTTTTTTTCTTGTGAGCACTTGTGCTCAGATCAGTATAACACTAATAAAAAGCAACTCAGACTAAAAGACACTCATATCAGTGTTTTAATGCGCTTCATTGCTCTCTTTGTAGATCTGCTTGTTCAGATGGTTTTCTTTTTTAAATACCCATTTATCCCAGTTCAGGTTAAGAAGGACCTGAAGCCTCTCCCAGTGAATAAGGTGTCCCAGCTTACAAAAGTTTGCTTGACTAAGAGCTCTAAATCACACTTCAGATGTAAGCAGTCATCCTCCCCCACCAATGCAGAAATGTCCAGACACAGGCGGATTTCTCTTTGGCTCCCAGATAAAAGTCTTCGCAGTCCACATCTGAGCTCTTCCACAAATAAAAGTGCAGTTTGTGTCCGGTCCTTTACAGTCTTCATGTCTTCCTCTGGGATTTGCCCACTGGATCCATGAGGACAACAATTCCCCACGCGGCCAAACCTTGCAGACAAACACGATGGCGGGTCAGTTTGGGTCAGAATGAGCACGTGCGCAGGTATGTGCAACTTACCTGCGGCGAAGGTGATCTGCGCCACGGTGCCCATGGACGTGGGCCCGCCCTGTCGCATCACCTTCCGCGCTGCGCTGAACACGTAGGCGCCGCACAGCACCAGGCCGCCCCCGGAGATGACTCTGCAGCTCCAGCAGTTCTTCAACGCCTGCCTGGCCGTCGAAACGGGGGCTTCTGGGGCTGTTGACATTGTTGAGCAGCGCGCGTGCTAATGCTAACCCCCTTAGCTCGTTTGATAAACGTCGTAGTTTTAGTGACAAAGAAACCGACTTCTACAAACGTCTGTTTCTAGAAACCCTTCAAATAAACGACCAAAACTAAAAGGGGTATGAACAAAGTTACAGCTAAACGTCCCTACATCCCCTCAGCATGTCAGAACAGACTAGCATACATACGGTCGACATTGACAAAGTACTTCCGGGTGACGTAGCTCACGCTTCCCCATTTCGAACCTTCAAAATAAGTTGAATAGAAACAGGTTAATGTTGTGTAACCCGCCATAAACACAGAGCCACTGGCCACTGCTTTTCCAAACTAAAACACCGCACACGTACCGTTTCAGTCGCGTTGTAGTTTTTAAAGCCATGGGCGGAGTGTCGCGTGGACTCTGACCCCTCCACGCGCAGCGGCCTCGGGTTTTTCCAGAGGATGGCCCCCATGTCTCCGCTCGTGCTGGTTGTTTTGGTGCTTGCCCGTGTTGGTCAGCCAGAGGCGGCCGCGGACCCGTCGTATGTTGCGGCCGTGTATGAGCACAGAGTTGTCCTGAACCCAGAGCCCCGCGTGCCCGTGACCCGCCGCGAGGCCCTGCTGCACATGCACCGGAACCTGGACGTGTACGAGCACGCGGCGGCCCGGGCCGCGCGACACGTAGGGACCCCCGGCCTCCCCTTCCTGTCACCGTGTTGTGTTGTGTTGTGTTGCCTTGAATCTATGCAGAACATCCCTCAAAATAAAGGACGAACGTTTTCAAATGAACCAAACTAAAAGTGGATATTAATATTCCGCTTTGTCCCAGTGTGTTTTTAAGTGAACTTTGCATGAGCTGAAGTCTGTTGTGCTTTTTTTCCCAGCAGACTATCACATAGATTAAAACTTAAAAGCTCAGATCTTGTATTGGTGTGTGCAGATTTGTGAATTTACTCCTTTCCTTTTTCTCCCATCTCTTGCCAAGGGTGCCCAGATCCTGGTCTTTCCAGAGGACGGGATTCATGGTTTCAACTACACCCGTTCATCCATCTCTGGCTACCTGGAAACGGTTCCTGACCCTCACGAGGAGAGGTGGAACCCCTGTACGGAACCTGGGAGACACAACGACACAGAGGTGGGTTGTGCGTTTGGATCAGACTGTGACGGTCACTTTACCGCTCAGATAGTTTCAGACGTTTTTTTTCTTTAACGAGGACGCTGCTGTGATTCTGTCTCAGGTTCTCCAAAGACTGAGCTGCATGGCCCGTCGCCACGGCCTCTACCTGGTGGCCAACATGGCCGACCTACAGCCCTGTCCCTTGACGACGGACCCCTCCTCCGTGTGTCCACCCGACGGACGCTGGCAGTTCAACACCAACGTGGTTTTCAGGTGCCGAGTGGAAACTGAAATAAAAGCACGGAAAAAAGCCCAAACTGTTCTAAATCTTCCCTCCCTCACAGTTCCGACGGCCTGCTGGTGGCCCGCTACCACAAAAACAACCTCTACTTTGAGGAGGCTTTCGACACGCCTCCACAAACGGAGGTCGTTACATTTGAGACGCCGTTTGCCGGGAGGTTCGGCCTCATCATCTGCTTTGACATCCTGTTCAGGGACCCTACGGTCACCCTGGTGGAAAGGGTAGGAGGCTTTACACGCCCACATGTGCGTCCAGACTGTCTCCATGGTGATCTCCTCCTTCCTTCTCCCCTGCTCCTCCCTCAGGGGGTGCGCCAGCTGATCTTCCCCACAGCCTGGATGAACCAGCTCCCCCTGCTGGACGCCGTCCAGTTCCAGTGGGCCTTCAGTCTGGGGGCCAACGTCTCTCTTCTGGCCGCCAACATTCGGAACGACCGGCTCATCATGACGGGCAGCGGCATCTTCAGCCCCGCTTCCGCCACCTACCACCACGCTGCCCGAGGAGAGCCGGAGGAGGGCCGGCTGCTGGTGGCCAGGGTGCCCGTCCTGGACCCGCTGTGGGCGGGGGGGGGCGGGGCCTCGGGGGGGCCCACCGGTTCTGGTTTCTGCCCCGCAGACGGCTGCGTTGGCCCTCGCCCCTCCTCAGCCGCCTCTTTGGATCCCCCCCCCCAACAGGACAGCTTCATCTCCTCCATGATGTACGACCCGTTTCGCTTCGTCCTCCTGGGCCGGGCGGGGGGGGAGGTGGGGGTGTGCGATGGGGCCTTCTGCTGCCGCCTCCGCTACGAGTGGGAGTCGCCGGGCGGAGGAGTGGAGCTCTACGCTCTGGGGGCGTTTGCGGGGACGCACACGGTCAACGGGCGCTACGCCCTGCAGGTAAGGCGCAGAGAAACATGGCCGCTTCTCACCTATGGCCTGCCCCCCTGCTGACCGGCGCCGCCTCCGTCCACAGGTCTGCGCCGTGGTCCGCTGCGCCGCCTCAGAGCCCGGATCCTGCGGACAGCAAGTGGAGGAGGCCGAGTCCAGGATGGCCTTCACGCTGGAGGGGGTGTTTGACACCGGGTACGTGTACCCGACCGTTCTGGCCAGCCGTCACGTCCTGGAGCGTCCCGAGCAGCTGCGGAAATCCGCGGAGGGGAGGGTGGTTCTGCAGCACTCCAACATGACGGCGGGCCTCGTCACGGCCTGTCTGTACGGCAGAATGTACCACATGGACAGTGAGGGGGCTGCCCTGGAGTAGAGGCCTTAAAAAACGGGAAGGACAGCGAGAACTGGTGATAATTTAACAGATTAAAGTACACAGTTCCATTATATTCCCCTCTGGCCGGCTCATTACTTTGTACAAATTTATTCATCTGTTGCTTATTCTTTACAAACATTGCACCAAACAGCATCCGACCTCTGAAAGCCTGAAATTTGCATATTCCTAAAAAGTACACGTTTCATAGTGTTTTCCTTAATCGCTCGTATACACATTCACACGCACACATTCGGACATGCGTCTACCACTTCGCCCGTCTCACAGACACCGGCTACAAACACTGTTTGCAGAGAAGTTGGCAAATTTTCAAAAGCACAACGGAACTATGTGACAGTACCATCGATACGGACACGGATATGCAGTTTTCCCCCTCTCACGAGGTCAGTGGTTGTTTCATAGCGTCAGACTTCAGTCTCACAGCAGCGTGTGTGTGCGGGTGTGTGTGCTTTGTCCAGCTCGGACTCCCAGTGAAAATCATCAAGAAGAGCGAGAACAGACTGTCAAATTTAGTACTCGCATGTTCAAAACCATTTAGAAAATTTAAAATCAATTCAAAGGAAGAGGTAAACATGCCTCAACCCCAAACCTTTTTTTTTAAACTGATGCAGGCATCATATTTAGATTTTTTTCAGATACTGTGTTAAAAAAAATAAAAAAATATCTGGCGAAAATAATCTCCTTTATAATTGTGTCTGTTGAGTAAAAATTGAAACCAACAATAAGATAAAGTTAAGTTGCTCTTTCGCTTCGGAAAACCTCACCAACTTTTTTGAAACAGCGTTTGCAGTCACAGCGTGGCAGCAGGTTCATCCCGGGGGAAACTCCTTTCGTTAGTCCACCGACTACTGAAGCAGCTTTACAGTAAAAGGGTCTCACATCCACCTGCTGTCACAAAACGGCCTTCGAGGATTCATTCCCCACCTGGAATAAATACGGAGAACTCAAATTTGACTTTCCCTGCCGGGAAGTGAAAGGTAATCGTCTACTCGCCGTCACCGATGTCCATGAATGACATGATGGCTCAAAGAAGAACTCCTTATATAAAAAAAACTCAAGGACAGCTGGAAAAACTTCCATAGCTGGTCCCTTAGGATTGTCCCACTGTTTCTTTAGACAATCATGCTAAAAAAAACAAGACGAGAAAAAATAGAAGCAGCTCCTCTGATGACTCGAGGGGGAAACCTCTCCGAAGGTTTAAAACCCTTTGTGACTGTCCACAAAGAGAAGGAGCTGGAAACTTTGAGGAAAAAATACTGCTCTGGATTCTAAAAGATTCTGGCCATGTTATGGCCCTTCCAGCGCCGCCTGGAAAGAAAATCGAACGTCCTCATCTTAATCTGCGTTTTAGCAGATTCGTATTCTAAACGTGGATATGCTCCTCCGGGGAAAAGGTGTGTGGTTTATACATGGATTCTTTTTTTCGATTTGAGGCGTCTGACCTGAAAAAACAATCTGTTCTATTTGCTCTGCTTGTCAGTCTATTGTCGTCGAACTATTAAGGCTCTTGAGTGGCTGGCCAGCCTGCCAGGGTGGGGTGGTGGTGGGGGGGGTGGGGGCTCTGCCCAAATGGCCTCAGTACGTCTCTGAGTCGGAGTCGTTCAGCTCGTCGTCGGCGGAGGCGGAGGACAGCGGCCGCTCCGGCCGGCAGTAGGAGGCGTGGTCCGGCCTCAGAGGGGGCAGGGCGTCGAAGGACACGCCTTTGGAGACGTGGTTGGAGCTGGGCCGGTGGTTGGAGACTCTCTGGGGGGGAGGCTGGGCGGGCGTGGCTGCTACGGTGACCATGGGAGAGGCGGGCATCATGGAGTTGAGGATGAGGGCCAGGCAATCAGCGACGTCTCGATTGGGGGCGCAGGCCAGAGCCGGGGTGTAACCTGGGAGAGGAAAGAGCGAGAAAGAAATTACTCGACTTTTTAAGTTACTCGGCCCTGAGCGGCGAAGCGACAGCTGACCGTTCTCGTCCACGGCCTGCACGCTGGCTCCTTTCCCCAGCAGCTCCTGGACTACGACGGTCAGCCCCCTCCTGGCTGCCACGTGCAGCGGCCTGCGGGCAGAGGGACACGCCGTTACACCGCAGCCAGGCAGCGCCCGGCCAGGGAGCGGCGTCCGGCGCCTACGTACGTCTGGAGGGCAGCGTTTGTGCAGTTGATCAGGTTCCTGTCGCTGACTTTCTCCAGAATCAACAAGGCACTGGTTTCGTGAGCCTGAAAGGGGGAAAAAGAGCAACAAGACGAAGGATCGAAATCTGATTCCGCAGAATAAAAAAAAAAGGCATGTCTAATGGTCAGTCTAAACGGTCACCTTGCTGCAGGCCAGATGCAGAGCCGTGTTCTTGTCGACATCCTGCAGACTCAAGTCAGCCTTCCCGCTGCTCACCAGCACCTCTGCAACACAGGAGTGGACGCGGTCATTCGTGTCTCCACGGGCCGGGGGCCACGGCGCCCGTCTGGCTCGGCCCACCCACCCACGGCGTTGGTCTGTCCGTTCAGAGCCGCCATCATCAGCGGCGTCCGGCGCGCGTGTGTGTCCGCGGCGTTCGGCTGGGCTCCGTGGCTCAGGAGAAGAGAGACGCACTCCACGTGGTCGGAGAACGCCGCGGCGTGAAGGGGGGTCCTGCAAGCACGCCGGCCCCCGTTACCCACAAAGCCCGCGTTCACCCCGGAACTCTCTAAACAAGACTTCCTGCTTCTCTCACCTTCCCTTAGAGTCGACGGTGTTTACGATGTTTGCGCCCAAGCAGTCGATCAGCATCTCAGCCACTCCCTCGTTGTCGTTCATTCTGAAACGAACATATCCCAGCCTGTCACGTCTCCTTAGACCACATCTGTCCACAGAGTCCTGACTGGTTAGTAGAGGCGGCGGACATCTTACACGGCGCAGTGGAGGGGGCTGAACGCGTTGCCTTTAATCCTCCGGAACATCTCCTGATCCAGTAAGACCTCCACACACGCATCGTAGCCTGGAGGACAGAGAGGGGGACGTGCACACATTGACAACGCGGCGGGGGGGTGTTGGCTAGCCGGTCCCGTGTCTACGCACCGTTGTAGCAGGCCCAGTGCAGCGGCGTGTAGCCCTGGCTGTCGGTCAGGTGGGCGTGGGGCTGGGGCGCGCCGCCGGCGTGCAGCATGGCGCCCAGGACGCCCACGCGACCGCAGGCCGACGCCAGCTGCAGGGGCGTGCGGCCCCGGATGTCCCTCACGCACACGCTGGCCCCCCGCTGGAGCAAGGCCTCCACGCACTCCTCCAAACCCGCCACGGCCTGCGCACACACATCACAGCCCCTTGAATTATGGCAAACAATAAACTAAATAATGAATTCATTTAGTCAAACGTCTGTCATGACTGAAGTGTCTCCGAGCTACTGAATTAGCTCAGTGCATGGCGCTTTGTAGTAAAATGCTAAACTCCACATGCTTCTGTAAATCCAATTTTGCGTTTCAGGAAATATAAAAAATATGACAAGGCAGTAAAGAATTTATCACGGAGTAATACTGTCATTCATTTGCACAATTCATAAGTCCTCTGGCCAATGTTGAAAGCAGTCTGTCATCAGCTGTTCTAGTTACCCTTGTCTACCTCTGTTTTTGGTAAGTGTTGTGGGCCTGAAGTACAAACAGGCATTTATGTTAATGCAGATGAATATAAGACAAAGTAAAAATGAGTATTCTTATCACAGTTTGATTTTGAGTGTCTCTATGGGCTGTATCAGTCTAAACCTGAGTAGATAAGCTACCTTAAATCGGGGAACGATGCTAGAGGAAACTGGGAGTGACTTTTATTCATGAATGCACATTCATTCCAAACTGTGAGCATAGTGTTTCTGGTTTGACTTTAGGAGACATCGTTTAATGTTCATAGAATCTAGTGTGACACATTGTCATTTGAGGAGGGATCTCATAGCCCTTCTCAAAAGATTCCTCCTTCACTCAAAGCTAAATTATTTTTAACTAGTATCAGTCACTGGCCTTGAACTTAATAGGAACTGAAGAAAAGGAGTTGCTTTTTAAATTAATCACAGCTCTCCAAATAGATGTTAAGTCTACAAATACTAAAATTAAAAACAGAACTCTGTGAAAAAGGGAACGGTCATCCCACCCCACGGTGTAGTGCTGTCCGGCCCCAGCGGTCCTGAATCTCCACACTGGCCCCTTGACTCAGCAGAGAGTACACACACTCCGTGTGTCCGCCCAGCACCGCCAGCATCAGAGGAGTCCTGTCCAGGGTGGGAGTGGGTTACAACTTCAGAAGAATGTTCATTTCATTTAGCGTGCAGCTGAAACCACTTAAAATCACACGCACAAACATAAAAAACACACAATACTATCCCAGATTAAGTCTCATGTTTGCGATGTCACACGCACACTCACACACACACACACACACACTCACTGTCCACTGGAGTCTTGTGCATCCAGATTAAGGTGTTGGTTGTTGTGGCTCATGAGCAGGCGAAGGCACTCGGGGTGGCCATTCATAGCTACAGCAGACAGATAAACACACATACAGTGGCCTGACGGAGTCAAGTCATGTGAAATGCGTGTGTTTCGACGTGTGTGTGTGCGTGCGTGGCTACCTGCAGCGTGTAAGGCTGTCTTTTTGTGTATGTAGTCTGAGGTCATGGGCGAGGCGCCATGGTGCAGCAGCAGGGACACACACTGCTGATGGCCTCTGGAACAGGCCAGGCTGAGGGGGGTCCGTCCCTCGGGGCTCCGGACGTGCACGTCCAACAGGGAGGACAACAGGACCTCCAACGACCCACAGTGTCCGTGGTAAGCCTGAACGGAGAGGGGGGCGCACGGCAACGGGTCACCTTCCACAGTCATCATGAATTACCATCAAATCATCCAGGAGGCAAAGGGAGTCAGAACCCGGATGTGAGAGGCTTAAAACCAAACGCACACCCTCCGTCGGGGCGCCACACTCACCGCCAGATGGAGTGGACTGAGCGGGGCCTGACTGTCCGAATCCCTCAGGATGTCTGTTCCTGATGTCTCCATCAGCTGAAACAAAAAACACCAATGGCGCATTGCAATATTTTTTATATTCAGAATATGAAGAGCCGAAGACTCACGGAGCATCTCTGATAAAGAAACTATAAAGTTTATTGTTATTATTATGCTGTTCAACTGCATTTCCCTCACTAATATAAACAATGTGTAAAAGATTACAAATCCTGGTGTATCCTTGTGTCCATAATAATGTTTTGATGCATTCAAAGCTTCACTAAGGGAAGAGCGAACATTCATGAACATAAGTGAAAACAGAGATCTACTGCTTAGAAGAGTTGAGAGGGAGGCTGACCGACTGTCTTTCTTACCACGTTAAGAGGTGTCTCACTTGCAATCTGAAAGAAAAACAAACTTCTCATTATTTTATAACATGCTATTAACACATTTTTGGCTCACATTTCAGCTCCGTTACTCACCAGTTCCAGGCACAGCGTGCGCCCATAGGCTGAGGCGTAGTGCACCGCACTGAAACCCTGTTTGTCCCTTACTGCTGGATCGGCGTCGTTTCTCAACAAGTACTCCACACATCTGGGAAAAAGACAAAGACCTCTTTGATGTCAAGGATGTGCGGCTAAGCTAAACGAACGGAGCACGAATCTGAACCTACTTCCCATCCGTGTCGGCGGCAGCGGCGTAGTGCAGAGGGCTGCAGCCCCTCTGGTCCAGTTCGTTAACGCTGGCACCGGAACCCACCAAAGCAAACACACATTGGTAGTTACAGTTGGCTGATGCATAGTGTAATGGAGCTCTGAATGGACAGGGAAGAAAAGATGGACAGAATTTGCATCCCAAATCATCTCACAAGCTGCACCACTCTATCATTGATCTCATTTTCGATCTCATTAGAGGCCAGACGCTACTTTGTGGAGTCTAAAGTTTGATTTTACCGTCCGAAGTTGTCTTTCTTGTTGAAATCTGCTCCTATGTTTAACAGCAGATTCAGACATTCCAGGTTCCTATTTGGAGAGAGAACTTTTAAATTAAAACTATTCTGAGTATTAACATTAACCACAAACACTTTGGAATGCATTTGCTCATCTTGCACATTACATAAAAATTGATCATGAAAATATGTGGGGATTCTGTTAAATGTGAGACAAATAAAATACACAACTTTCAAAGAAAGAAATCAGTAAACAGAAGCAATCACCCTCCAGCTGCAGCAGCGTGTAGACAGGTCCTCCCAAAGTCATCTGGGGTGTCTATGACAAACCCTGCAAAAATATGCAGTCGGCATCAATTAAGATGTCAACCAGGCTTTTTTCTGCTGGCAGGGATGGCGTCAGCATGAATGTACCTGAGGACAGCAGCTTCCTGCAGCAATCTGAAAAGCCGCTAAGAGCTGCCAGGTGTAAGGGGAACATCCCGTGAATGCCTCTTCTGAAAAGGCAAAGAAAACAAGCCGTTACAGGCCGCGAAAACAAGCTGTGAGGCCAAGGCTGGCAGAAATGGTTTATCTAGATTTCCCATCTTCAGTGTTTGCTTTTAGTTCGCGTATCATGTCGCATTGAGCAGAAATGGTGTCGAGTGGGAGTTGTTACAGACCTGGCAGTGCTGGCTCCGTGTTTGAGGAGCGCTGTGACGATGAGCTCGTGTCCGTGGCGGGCGGCGATGTGGAGGGCGGTGTTTCTGCTCCTGTCTTCACAGTCAATCTCAGCTCCTGCGCGCGAAACAAGAGGCTCTCACAGTTAGGTTTTGTGCTAAAGGGCCATCATAAAACACAAGGAATAAAACTATACACACAGAGGACGCCTCAGTAATAACTGCTCCCGTAATTTCCAAACCTATTTCAGCCCATGCGTGGAAACTGCCCACTGTGGGGGTTCTCACCGTTTTGAATGAGGGCCTGAGAGCAGGAGAACCTTCCATGCGTAGCTGCCATGTGAAGGGGAGTCTTTCCATCCTTACTCTGCCAGATGGAGGGAGAAACAGAGGAGGGGTTGCAGAGACTAAAGAAGATACCGGCCTGTATATCTATACATTAGTCTATACATCAGTGGTGCAGTATCTGGACAGGTGGCATGGACAGCTGTATGGACATCTGTAAATCCCAAAACGTCGACTTTTTTAAATTAACACAAGTGAAAACCGACTCTGCTGTGAATCAACCCCCACCCAACACACACATATTCCCTGAGCAGCTTGCCGCCTCCGGGAGCCACTCCTTCCTCCCCCTTCTTCCATATGGTCTTGCATCTTGAGGCTGTGGGAACCCTGTTATCAGTTTTCCATCACCGCCATCAAAATGGTAACCACGCTGTCACTTCAGCTCTCTGCTAAACACCGAGCAGGACGGATGAACTACAGCCGGAGCCTTTTTTCCACACTATTCCACACACTAGCGGTGTGCTAGTGTCTCTGCTCACCTGCTGGTTGATGCGCGCACCATGCGCCAGCAGCAGCTCCTGGCACAGCGCCCCCTGGCGTGAGGAGGAGGCAAAGTGAAGGGCGGAAAAGCCCCTTTCGTTCACCTGGAGCGAAAAGAAGAGACGGTGAGATAAAAAGGAAGTGCGCGCTATTTCCATGAGAGCTGCTCACTCACCTGGTTGACGTTGGCTCCTGCTTCGATGAGCTCACCGACCACAATGTCCTGACCGTTGTAACAAGCCAAATGTAGCGGTGTGTTCGCGTAGGTGTTTACCTCGTTCACCTAAAACGAAAGGAACAATCTTTTAGTGACCAGGCCGTGACATGTCTTTGATGGTCAACCTGATTAATGCTTTGTTCCACAATGAGGCGGTCTATTAACTTTAAATTAGGTAAATGGAAGCTATTTAGCATAAAAGCTTGTTTTTCGTGACGCCGTTAGTGCGCACGTGTGTTTGTGTGCGCTCACATGGGCGCCCAGGCTCAGCAGGTAGTGCACCGTGCTGCTCATGCCGCTAGAGGCGGCTGCATGGAGCGGTGTGTAGGCCTTCTTGTCCTTACAGTCAACCTCGGCTCCACTGGCCACCAGCAACCTCACAACCTCGAGATGACCTGGTGGAATGTAGAGAGACATGGGAGAGTTAACCTAACCTAAGTAAAAAAATAAATAAAATAAAAAGTTCCCACCCGTGCAAATAAAGATGAGAGCCTTATAGAACAATGGTGATTCCAAACATTTGCGATGCTGCTTAAAACGTGAATAAAAAGAGAAAACAAGCACTTGCAAATCTCATACAAGCTTGTAACAGAATCTCTACATTTGATTATGACTAAACTACTGCTGCAGCCATTTTTTTTTTTACACACTATTCCAACTTTTTGGGGATTGGAGTTCTAATCTACACCCACCCATGTAGGCTGCCCAGTGGATGGCTCGTCTGTCCTTCTTGTCAAAGGCGTTAATGTTGGCTCCTCTGGACAGCAACAGCTTCACCATCTGAATGCACACATTTTGGTTTAATAGTTGCTGACGTGGCGTTCCCCGTGCGTGCCCTAATGGAAAAGGGTCAGACCTCCACATGGCCACTGAAGGCGGCGTGGTGCAGGGCAGTGCGCCCCCCCCGGTCGGACACGTTGACGTTGCTCAGCAGTGGGACCAGAGCCTCTGCACAGCGGACCGCCTTGTTGCTGGCCGCTACGTGGAGCGGCGTCTGCCAGTTCTTGTCCCGGGCATTCACGTCTGCGCTGTGCTTCAGGAGCACTCCCACCGCATCCTGAACAGAAAGGGAACCTCAGGCAGGCTGTGCAGACAGGGAGCCCACAGGGTAACACATCTCAATGCTCTAACAAAGTACATGCCATTGTTCACAGGAGGCCGTCTGCATGTTTAGAAAATTCTTTGCTATTTTTAGAAGGGTTTTGTGCTGAAAATAGTTTCAAGAAAGTGAAAGAACACAGGCAGCTGTGTTAGTTTGAGCATATAAGCTTCATAGACACATGACTGAATAACAATGGTTATGGACGTTTGCATCTTTAAGGGGAGACTGTACAAATCATACAGAATACATTCACAGGCAAATAGGGCCTCTAAAAAATAGTTAGTATAAAGTTTATTTATGTGGGCTTGAATTGGAGTTAGCATGTTTGTTTACTTGATACAAATGAGAAAAATAAAAAAAGTTTAAGTGAAGTGGTCAAAGGGTGCTGGGCATGTGAGTCTGTCCCGTGTTACCTCACTACAAGAAGCCACAGCTCGGTGAAGAGGAGTCAACCACTTGTTATCTTTGGCATTAACTCGGGCCCCTCGGGTGACAGAAAAGAGAAAAAAAGAAGGATGACAGAACATTAAATGGTGGTACTGTCTATCCAACTTCTGGCTTGCAAATATGGTTAAAACCTGTAAAAACTTGATAAACTAAAAGACAACCCCCCCCCAAAGACCTTTATACATATCTTATGTTTAGGGGGTGGGCTGACTGGAAGAGATAAACTTCCGTGATCCTCTTAGGCATAGTCGGGAGGTTAAAATAGCCCTGAAGTTACACCTGTTGCAAGCTCTTCACATCACTGAAAAAGCATTCAACAACCTCATCTCGTAAAGCGCACATAAGCAGTCACTGCACTCTTATGTTACGCCACTCAAGCCCCTCCTCTTTGTGTGTGTAGCTCCTTCCAGAGAGCTAAAAAAAAGACCCCCATCAAATGATTGAAAAATCATAACAAGTGTCATAAGTCACCACGAGACAGCTCGATGGCTCTGAGCGGGAAGTGGGAGCTACTGAGGAAACCGAAAGCAACGTGGGGGAGGGAGGGGACGAGAACTGGGCAGGTCCTTTAAGGAGTTTGCAGAGCTGAATGGATAAAAGGACATGAACATAAGCAAAGAATATGGATTTAATTAATTATAATAAATTCAATGAATTAGGACTAAAAATGGCATCTTTTCCTGAGGACATGAATAATTATCCTGTTTATACTGAGCTGACATAAAACAAAAAAGCCATTATGTTTTACTAATGCAAATCAATGATGTGTTTCTTATCAAATCCAGGTTATGTTATGTTTTTTTTTTCTTGCTAAGAGAAAGACTTCTTGACTTATAAGCAAATACAAGTGAGATAATGTTAATAATACATTTAATCAGGAAAGGAATGAGTTGTACACAGATTAAGGAATAGATTAAAAATACAGCGTGAACACAAGAATGATTTAAGATAAAAATCAAAGGACATCAAAGGCGAAAGTGTAACATCTCAGTTTTAGGTGTTTACCTGAGAGGATGAGCAGCTCGATGATTTCAGCATCTCCCAGGTAGGCTGCAGCATGCAGCGGGGTCCGCTTCTCGCTGTCCTGGAGGGACAACGCAAACAAACCCACAACTTAAAAAATAGCCCCTAACACTATTTCATTCATCCAAAGGTCACACTGACACAGAGGGTGAGCCGTGGGTGGAGAATCTATAAACCTCACACGGCTGCAGACCACAGGAAACATGAGAGCGGAGACACGGGGAGAAAAATGCCTCATCGCTTCACTTTTGCTCAGTACTTCACTCCGTCATGCCGGCGGCCTGCTGCACCAATTCCACCTCTTTTCAGTTTCAGTGCGGCAGAGCCCAATCAGCAAAGTGGGGCTATAAACAAACGTCACGTGACAGAAAGAGGCCTGAGCCGGTGTGCTGACTTTATGGAGACTCGGTGTGATGACCCCAGCAACACAGAGCCACAAAAAAAAAGAAAAAAAAGAAAAAGGAGCATGGACAGAAAGAAATACCGGGACAGACGGGAATACGAGGCACAGGGAGAACGGAAGCAATGCAAGTATGAACACCGACAACTCGTGTGTACTGCTGACTGATGCGGTTTATAAAACGGTAACAGCTACGAGAAGCCATTAAGTCAGCCGATCAATATAATCCCAGCTCAGTGCTGCATCACTCACTGTCGCTCTAGGCTATATTGCATGTGTGTGTTTGTGTGTGTGAACCCAGGAATGTGAGCATCGACCTGACATGGACGAAGGTGGGACTCACCTGGATGTTGACATCTTCTTTCTTGAATATGAGCGAGCGAACTTCATCTGGGTCAACGTTGAAGATGGCTCTTAACAGGGATGGCTTCAGAGAAACACAAACACACACACACACACACACATCGCAGCCGTTTTAAAAGCAGTCATTTTCTATGCTGAGTGACAACTATGTTATCAGAGAGAGTTATGGCAGTCACAGATGGAGGAATGGCCCGCCCGGCCGTACATCAAACATGGCTGGATATAACCTCTTTATTTATGCAAGCAGTTGCTGCAGGACGCGACAGAAAAACATCCACGTGCACGCCATTTCCTAAACATCTGAGCCTGCGAGAAGTTAAAGGAGCATTCTCCTATCAGAGGCAGAAAAGCTGATCAAAATGCAAATGCCAGTGCAAAGCATAGATGTGATATGGACCAAAATCTTTAAACAGAGAAATGCTTTGTCTGCTCCACAACATTATTATGTTTACAAAGCTTGAACGTTTTCCCGAGGAGAGTATAAATTTACCAGCGTGAGAGAGAACCGCTAGTGAGTGAGAAACACAAAAACACACTTCCAGCGCATGTCTTTCACTATCCTCCACTTCAGTTTGTGCTCCCGTGCACAGATGTGAACGGCTGGATTGAGTACGGCAGCTTTCTGCTGCCAGGAAATTAAAGGGATTTGTAAACAGTGTTGCCCTGCAGTCACGATAAACCTTCAAAACATACTGAAGGGGAGCCAAAGCAAAGTCTCCATTCAAATGTACGGTGAAAAGAACTAAGTACTGCAGTTTGAGTTTTTACTGTTACATTTTCAACACAAAAATTCTAATTAGACAATTGTCAATAACTGAGGAGTTACTGCTGCATCACAGCCAGGATACTAAAATATCAGAAAACATTCTGAATTATATTGGAACACAAATGGAGAATAAACGTAAAACAAAAGAAAAAGGGCAATCGTTTTGATATGATGATGCCAAAGCTCTTAAGAGCCCTCCTGAATTCCCAACAGTTTGGTCAGTGGTCCATCATCAGGGAACCTGAGGCACGACCCCGTGTAGGCCCTGTTCTACTGAAAAGTTCAGCCACTGCAAAATGAGATTTAACCTAAACTCGATCCACCTTTCCACCTTGAGCACTATCGTGTCAGCTTTATTGTCCGGCTTCCTCTTGAACTCTGTTTTTCTCCAGCGTTCAGTCAGCTGTGCACAGCTCCTGACATTTGTGGGCACATCCACCACCTCGACGGACGCTTTAAAGAGCAGCCTTTCAAAAGCTAATAGTACTTTCTGCTGTGTTTCATCTGTGGGATTGATCTTTGTGAATCCAACAATAGAGACTACAAAGACCAGGCTTTGCTAATAAACTACAAAGGCCTGCATGCTCCTCATATGCCAGGGATATACCATGGCTGTAGTTAGAGCTAAATTACATGAGTTGTACTTTAATGTAATGAGACGTATAAATACTTTTAACGTAAATCTCAGTCTGAGGTCAAAGGTGGGAAGTGCATGACTGTTTGACATGACAGTCTCAGTCAGTAATGTCGCTGACACATCAGTAATGCATTACACCTGGCCAAACTGGCCAAAAATGGAAAGATTTTTTAAAAAGTGATTGAATTATTTCTGAAAAACGGCGCAGATGGATCCATCTCACCTTGTCATCCTGAACAGTAGTCCTTTGAAAGGCATGATGGGACCCTTGGTCAAGAGGTGACTTTGGCTGGGGAGGTGGGGATGAAGAGGAGGGCTCATCCTCCTCCACCTCCTCCAGCACAACGATACACACCCGGCTGGCCCGTTCTGACCGCATCGGGAACAGACGGTCCTCTCACTCGCGCATCAATGGACTATTCCGCAATCCCGCACAAACAAAGGTCGGCGGTAGTTCCCATGAAATACGCTGTCCGGGTAAACCGACGCCGCACATCTCCACGTCAAATCCAAAGGGAAGGGTCCGGCTCCGTCCTCTATCTGTCAGATGGAGGAGCCTCCGTCTCTTTAAGCCCTGCCGGTGCTCGGGGAGAGCGGTGGAGGCAGCAGGGAATTCCTCTGCGTAATGGTGGCGGCGAGAGGCATGCGGCAGAATGAGCCCGTGCTGGCCGGCGGCACACAGGAAGCTACATACCCTCACCGTGCCGCTGCAGCCAGGAGCGCGCACGCTAACACGCACGCACGGACGCACAGACCCTGTGATCACACACGGACGGGGAAGCGGCACCCGCTGCGTGTGCGGGTATATGCGCTGCTGGTTCCAGGCAGACTGCTGAAGCCAGCTCTTTCAATAGAGAGGGAGAGCGGAGGGGGGAGGGGAGCAGGAGGAGGGGGGCAGAGAACCAAAGAGGGAGAGCAGAAACTGTCGGCAGGTACCGGGGCCGACACAGGGCACAAAAAGAGAGAGTTCAACGTAAGGGAGACTAAATGCAAGGCGTGCGAAATTTAAAGTCCCACTCCTGGAGTCACCTCTCATGGAAATGCTTTTCTGTGTTATTTGTACATCTCTCCCACTTGCCTCAATAAAATAGACGCAATATGACTCAGATTCTGCTTTCTCAAACAATGAATGGGCATCAAATCTGGCCCCACCCACATCCATCCATGCATTTACACTGTGCTGTGAATATATGTCCAAACAGGTCGTGTGGTATAACGCTGATGTACTCTTGTTTTATGCTCTCATCTCTTGGCTTGCTCCAGAACAAATTGAGTTCTCCAAGACGCTGTCCAGCTCCCGGGATACTCAGCGCATGGCACAAGCAACGACAGGCCGTCATTTCTCTCCTAGTCTGGGTTTTTCTAATGATATACCTTGTAGCCCATAAAAAAATCTAATCAAAGCTTTACTTTTAAGTAAAGAAATATAGGAAAGTCCACAGAGAACACTTCAAAGATGGAAACCTAATTGTCCTGTTATTCTTATTATTATAAGGACATTTTTTATGTGTAAATATAGTCAGATCGCCTCCTGAATGAAGCTCCTTAGTAATACAAACACATTTACAGGCCTACTAGGCTCTACCTTTGTTTGAACTATTATCACATCATTTTGAGATAATGTTGTAGAAATGACAAATGGTGCTCATCTATTGACTCTGTCCCTACGCAGAGTTTAGAACTTTAACACTGTCTGGCTATCTAATGTTTACTGCTTTAAATTATTTAATCTAATGTAATGTTTGATGTGTTTAGTGCAAGTCTTTATGTTTAAGTAGTCGGAGTCTGAGGTCTCTAAAAAACAGCATAGTGAAAACAAAACCGTGTGCACAACAATGTGCCGGAGTTGTTGGAATCTGCCAAATAAGATTTATGCAAGAGCTGATTACAACACATTTGCAAAAAATAGATGTGGTTATTCCTTCAAAATGTAATTTTACAGGAATTACATAAACAAGGTAACCGGATTAATGCACGTGTATGTGTTTCAGTTTCTTTCTTGGTGGGTCGGTGGCATAGCTTCAAAGGTCCCCATCTCATTATAAAACTGGAACAAACTGGGTTTGCCAGAGAATTTGAGGGGAGCTAACAAGACCAGTCTGTGTGTGAGAGTGTGTGTGTCCCAGTCTACTTCGTATTCAACACAGATCCTAAAGGGAGCAATCTTGCCAGGCCACACAACCCCATTAAGTCAGAGGGAGGAACAGTGCGAGGGAGGGCAAACCAAAGAGCGAAGCCGATTGGATCCTTTCTGCGGGCAGAAAGTTTGAGACTAATTTAGAGACTTAATATGAAACACAGCTTACTATCCCTCTGTTCCTACAGCAATCATGTTGACAATATAGATTTGAATCAAAGAGACAAACAAAGAACTAATGTTTGGGGAAGTATAATGCATAAACAACCAACGTTTTGTCTATGCCACACTGGGGATTCTTTCAGCTGCACAGCTAAAATATATTCACAAAGGAGAATTGTTGAAGGTCCTGATCTATGGCCGCTGTGTCACAAAAGAAATCTCACAGATTAGGACAAAGCAATGGCAACGAGGGGACGGACGGTTTTCTGTGGGGCGACTCGGAACCTTACGGGGGAACCTGACGTGACAACATGCACGTCCCAGTGAAAGCATGCCGGCTTGTGCCTGACCTCTGTCCCGACCCGGCGGCAACATGTAGCCCTGTAACGTAATCCCAGAACAGAAGCACAAAGGCCAGCACGTGCTGGCCGGTGTGCACGCGTGGTGTGCTGGCACGCTCTCTGCCGCCGGTGAGAAAGCCTTCAGGGGGGGATCTGCGTTAAAGCTGTTTATTTTTTTAACGGCTCTGATGATGTCTGATGGCAGTACCTTTGCGGTGACCTGGTACAGAGATTGAGTCTCCAAGCAGAGCCACAGGTTTCTTGACCATTTTGATAAATTTGAATAAAGAAATGGCTGAAAACCGCACCAAATCCAACCAAACAAGAGCACGTCTGCAGGTAGGACTTGCTGCTTCGCCCTATTTTTGACTGACCTCCCTGTAGTACATTATTGGATATTCTTGTCACCGTTAAATGAATTTGGTGCTGATGTCAACACAAAGCAACAGCAAACAGATACCTAAAACAACCATGCTGCTCACATTTCTCTTGTAAATGAACAAAACATTTCAGGGTGCTTAGACACTCTTAACTGACGCTTCCTGTTATATGACGAGCACATCTGAGCGAATCCAGACGATAAATGCCTACAGGATGCTCTAACAACCAGTCAGAACTACTTAGAGTGGAGCACACTCCATGTTTCCAAGCAGCAGGACGCCCCCTGGAGTTCAAACACTGTGAGGAGTAACACCTCACCGTCTCTGACTTGGCCCCTCCGGCCCAACTACGTTTGTCTCATTATGAGCAAGCAGAACAAAACATTGCAGAATAGAGAGTGGGACCTGATCACCGACACTCAGCCCAGAGGACCGGTCAGCTCAGGACAGCTCACAGAGCGGCACAATCAATGACCCACTTTGATTTCACTCACTCACTTTCCCCTCCAATCTCTCAGGATGATACCGTTCTGATCAATCATGCAGCCAGTTATAAGTAGCTCAAAGTAGTTTTATATATGTGTAAGTCACCTGCTACCTGACTACCAGACCAAAGAATTACACCAAAGCGTGATTAACTTTTCAGTATTGAACTTTTCTGCGTTTAGATGCCAGCGATGCGCCCAGTGGGTTTCCGCCACCCATGATGCCTCAGCTGAGCCCATTTGATCAAATATTCGACTCGACACCCAACGTAAATTTCCAACATACGAATTTTGACGTCGAAGTCATAGTAAAATATATATAAAATACAAAAATTAAATGAAAAAATAAATAGGATAAGTTAGTTTAAAGTTCTAGTACTGAAAGTAAGTCAGGGTAGTACTGTATCTCATTCACCCCCCTCTACCTCCATCTCCTGAATTGCCAAGCTTACACCTCCTTTCGCCAATAAGTGCCAATAAAATCCCCCTTTTTATTGAATATTTCTTTATAATGTATTTCTTTTTATATCTCTCTTTTATATTGCATTTGTTTGATTGCTATGTGTAATTATCTGCCGTATTTATTATTCATTGTAGGTTTTTTGGGCTATGGAATTAATTATACGCATTACAGTGTATTCTTACGGGAATATTTGAACCAACATACGAATATTTTAACATACGAAGTAGGTCCCGGAACGAATTCAGTTCGTAAGTAGAGGTTCTGCTGTATGAGGTTTGGACCAGCAACAGGTGAGCGGCCACCGGACTGCGTGGAGCCCAAGTTCGTGTGGTCTGTCAGCGTGTCGACCCACCGACTCGTTTTCATGTTTGGTGGCACAGAAAGAGTTACCAGAATGAGTCAGAGCTGCGGTTACCGGGAGCAAAGCAGGGCGAGGGGAGCTAGTCAGCTAGCCTGACAGCCGCCCAGCTGTGTCCGTCCGTCCGTCCGCCGTCACCATAACAGCGACAACACTCTGTTACGGCCAGAAGCACCAACAGACACCCAGCAAGTGGTCAATGATGTGACTTTAGAGTTTAGTTCGCAAATAATCCTCATATAAAGCAACAGGTGACATGGCGGCGGCATGCTGCGTACGCTAACTGCTATTTTTGGGGGGCTTGTTATCGTTAGCTGGTTGGCTAACGGACGAGATATTAGATGACTTAATGATAGGAGCGATGCAGGATTAGCTTAGCATTCACGGCTCTATTTTTACATGAACATTTGCCTCTCAACGTAAAGACGAGCAACCCCGTTTCTGAGAGTGAATTTAAGTAAATGCTATCGAAACCAATGTAATTTATATGACATCCTATGGACCTATTTTATCCAGTTATTACCACAGCAAACTTTTTGTTTTGACAAAAAAGTGACACCCACGAAGAGAGTCAACGTTAGCTGCCCAGATGTTAGCTTGATGTGAAACCTTACCTGGTCTTGTATCTTCAACACAGCCATAATTCTACGAATAGTTTATTTTATTAAAAGATATACTAACCACCCCGGGATTCACTGTATGTAAACTGGCCGGGGGGAGCTGTGAGAGGGCAGTCAAGAGACTGCGAAGCGGAGCGGCTTCTCCCTCTTCCTGTCAGGAATAAACTCACCACATAATGGGAGACTAATCATAAAACGGAGACATAGCGACCAAAGCGTAGCAGACAGCACACTGTCTATAGACTGCGTCTATTTTAGTCCCAGGAGCCCCAGCTCCAACTTAAACGACGTTTCATTTTGTGGTCGACGTGTATTAATGCAAAATGACAGTATAAGACAAAGGAACTCCATTGGAACGAGACATTTATGGGAAAAAGAAAATATACACAAAGACATTTAGCAGCGGATGTTAATGTATTTTTTTATTCTAAAAAATTTAGAATAAATCAAAGAGAACATCATGATTGAGCAGTGACTAAAACTCAATTTAGTGTGGATATAATTATACAATTATAAAAATTCATATATTTTAATCAGAGTATTTTACTGTTGTGGCTGAAATTACAACAGTAGAAAGAGAAATCATCAGAACTTCGTCCTCCTGCACATTTAAGCTGGGGACATGACATTTAGTCCTTTTGGTAAGTGAAATTTCTTATGCCGCTTTAGACGGGACACGCTTGAAAATTCCTTGCCGCAAGTGCGACACCTGTTCCTCTTGTTGTGCTTCTGGACGTGATGAAGTAGACTTTCTCTTTTCCCCAGATGTTTTCCGCATATCCCGCAGATGCCGGCTTTGTCCCATGCGTGTGTGAGCACGTGGGTGTTGAGCGTGTACATGTAGTGGAAACTTTTCCCGCATGCCCTGCACAGGTGAGACCCTGTTGGATTCTGGCTGGCGGATAACCGCGCAACGGCCTTCTTCCTGTCCAAATTAAATGAGGATTGAGTTCTTTCCACGTGCCTCTTGCAGTTCAGACCTGAGCCAGGATTTTGGTCCGTCTCTGAACCCTCGCTGCTGGCGCTGTTTACTGCCTCTGTCGTGGCTCCTTTACCGGCGGGGATCTGGTTTTCCCCGGTCGGGTCGGACGCCTCAGGCAGAAGACGCCCGGCTGGGCAGATTTCAGCCGTCTCTTGGACGCAGTGTCCCAGTGTGATGTTTTTGATGTCCAATGCAGAGTCCTGGACCTGGCTTTGTTCTTGTGTCTCACTGTTGCAGTTTTGTATCAGTATTTGTTGTGCGTGCTGATCCTGTCCATATATCCCTGTGGACCAAAGAAAATAAATAATTAGATGCTTTTACGTGCTTTTACTGAGCACCTGGACATTAACGGCACGGCTCTGCCGGGATACCTCGCTGGACTTCCACTTTAACTTCCTGCTGCTCCGCACTGCCGAGGTTCTGATAACACCAATGCTCAGGAATAATGGGCACCTGCACCTCTAAGACAGAAGCAGGGAGCTGATGGGTCTCTGTAGGGAAATGAATAGTAATTAAATCTGTTAACAGATGGCCACACGCATGTTTGAAACAAATGTAGAGTCTGTAGCAACTAAACTGCAAAACATTTTAATTTTGAATTAATTTAAATATTCAAAATAATCGTTACAAAATAATAACTGAAATAACTAAAGACAACTGACAAGAGATTTGCGACATTTTTGCACTTAAATACACTGAATGTTCTGTAGGAAGAAACTATTTCAGTGATATTTGAATTGTTAGAGTGCAAAGTTAGTTTAAGTCTGAGTGTTCACAACGTGATTTTAAAGTCACACTGAGGTGAAACTCATACCTGCATCCTGGCTTTGCTGCACGATGGTAAAACCTGTCATGTAAAAAGAAAAAAACAACAACTGTCAATTAGTGAAAATTCAAGTTTTACCAAACTGCCATCTGGGAATTCTGCACCGCTCTGAACCGACACGAGCCGGTCAGCAGGTCTGCAGCCCCAAAGGACCAGGGGCCACCGTCCCCTCCACACCTCTGCTGTTTGGGTGTGGACACACAGCCTGGGCGTTTTTTCAAATCGAGGAAACCTCTAAACGTACTGTGCTGTTTGGATAGGTGGGCCTCGAAGTTGCATCGGCGGTAAATGATCTTCCTGCAGTAGGGGCAGTGCCAGTGGCTTCGGTTCTGGATTTTGTCCTTACACATACATGGTATGACAAACTTCTCTGAAAGGAGGACAAGAAAGAAAGCAATAAAGCATCACACAGCACAACGCAACGGTCCAGTGATCCTCCCACCAAACGGAGCTGGGACACAAAAGGAAGACTTACTGGTGCCGCCCTGAATGAAGTGAATGGCGGACAGATAATGCCTTTTGATCAGGTGGGATTCTGAGGCTTCCACGGTCTTCAGGCAGAAGGGACAGGCGCTGCGGGAAACGTACTTTTCAAAGTCCTCACGCGTTGTGAAGACAGTCTGCGAACCTGGAAAATACACCGATTTAGGATTATTTTAAAAAGTGTCTTAATTCTATAACAGACGAGTGCATTCTACAAAAAAAACAAAACAATTAAAAGTAATTCAAGTCAGCATTGTTACTTTACGTTTAACTTAACTGTCAAAGAATGAAGATCACCCATGTAAGTAATCAGTACTTCTTTGTTAAATATAACATTTACTTGAATGAAGAGAATGATTTGTCTTTGATGTAATAAATGTAGCTCCTACCAATGGATGAAGTAAAGATAGTTCCACTGGCCGTGCTTTTCATTTTAGAGTCCACAGCAAAGGAAGGGGGGCCATCGGTGACAGCGGAGACGGTCTTGGAGGCGTGAACCGCTGCATGGAAGAAACAAAAGAGAAAAACTAACTCACTGAGCTCAAACCTGGCACTATGACAGGGCTAAAAGAAGGGGAAAATGGGGGGAAAAAAACATGCTTTTTCCTTCATTTTCTCCGTCTCTTTCACATTTAGGTTACACTTTGCTCACCGTGACCAGCAGCTGCCACAGGGGCGTGCAGCTAGATTTTCTGAGGAAGGAAAAGTTAGGTTCACCATCAGAAAAGCTGGCAGGATGACATCTTCATGTCTAAGTTTGGTTTTAGATGAAAATGTTAAAAGTTTGGAAAAGGCTGCCACCACTGGAATGAAAGTTACTGTATCAAGCTGCAAAATGCTGGAGTTATGCTTTATTAACATGCTAATACATCAGTAGTAGTTTCATTACATAGAGAAGTTACAAAAGTGACCTCATGAAGATATTATAAAGAGGTTACGACAATGGATGGATGGATATTATAAATAGGCCAAAAATAAGACTTGCTAGGATAGAAACATGGAACACTGAAAACAAGAGATACTCAGTGTTGCATTAAAAAAAAGGGTGGTTTTGATTTTTAATGCAACGTATTATGATACTGATATCAGCCTCTGGGATTGATGCAGTTGTGACTGACAGGTGCTTTTTCTCCAGCAGCTGACAGAGCTGTTAAAGCTACCGTTGTGATGCTAGCTTAGCTTTAGGTGACATTTGTTCAGTCCCTCTCGAAAGGGAAGGTTTCAGAAGAAAATGGTTGAAGAAGAGGTGGTATTCATGTCTAATTGTGAGCTCTACAGACGCTTCATGCATGGCTGTGAGGCTGAGAGGAGGCCAGTCCCGCATAGCTGAAGATGGCTTCTGACTCGTCTATTAAAGGGCTGGGCGCTAAATGAGAAAAATATACACTCATGGTTGACCATGGGTCAGATGCATGAGGACTTTAGTTATGAAACAAAATAAGTTATATTATTCACAAAATACGTTAGAAAGAATTACTACCATATACAGCTTAGCAAATATTAAATTAAAAACAATTTTTCATTCTGGATTTTCTGTCCCTTCATTTTTGAAGATCAAGTTTGTGCTAATCAGTGTGTTACTAGTAAATTTACACAATCTGAAGGACGCTTTGGTTTAGATTTGAGCTTAATAACTTTATAAGACTTCTAGGGACCAACGTTTTAAAAAATTATAGGAGAAAAAATCAAATTGATTGGCATGCAAAAAAGCTAGTGTAGTAATTTATGCCTATCCCTTTAATTTGTGAACCAGAAACCAACTTCAGGGCCGTGTCTCAGCCACCGCTGCATCATTTTCTCCGGACTGTTTTCGGGTCGGACTCCTGCGTGTGGTTCGGACGGACAAACCTTTGGTGTTTGCGGGCTTTGTTTTGAGGATTATGTCCAACAGAGAGCGGTGGCGCTCGTTCTCTTCCTTCAGACGGGAAGCCTGCTCTTCGTAATTGGCTACTATTTTTGAAACGACCTCAAATATCTCCGAGGTAACGGCGTTTAGGCGCGCGGACACGAGCATCCTCAGCTCCTCTATTTGCCCCATTTTCCCCCGACGGCAGTCTCCGCTCCTTTACAGCGTACTCTAAAGGAAAGCCACCACTTCCGCTTCCGCTTCCTGCTTTTCAAAATAAAAGCCGGTTATTTCGTTCAGAAATGTGTTTGAAAAAATGTAATGAAATCCAACAACCTCTTTATCTTTTTATCTTTTTAATCTTTTTATTCATGATTAAATAGAATAAAATACTCGGAGACTGGTCTGTAGTTCTCCCTTTATTTGTGGCAGGAACAATTTAATCAGGCGTTGTCAAAGCAAAGAAAATTGGAGAAAATGGTTAAACACCGATTTAAACCATAATCATCAAGGTTTTTCTTATCTGGTTGAGATCACATTATTCATTCAGTAACTATATCCTGATGAGACAGGTTTGACTCAACATCAAGCCAGGGTGAGCATTTTCTGGTAAAGCAATCAAGCATGTTAAGATTTCACTCGGAATGTGGAATAAACTACTTTTAAACGGTGCATCCAAGTGTTCCCGAAGTCCTCATGAGCGTACTCTGCACTGGAAGGTCAGCGGGTCGCACGTAGATCCAAACTGGCAGCAGTGTTTTCCATCGGCACAGCAGGTCCCCTGAAATCATGCCCAGTGTTACAACAAAACTGTAGCCTTTATGTTATCAGGTTACACTTTGACAAATGCAATCTATTTCTAAACATATAAATAATGATTTATTGTAAGCCACTGTAACTTACAGACCACCAACAGATCACTGTGCCCATGCTTCCAACAGTCTGTAACGCGATAACCTAAAATGATCTGACCATTGGATTGATCTACAGCACGTACCAGTGGGTAAGGGCAGCAGGTCCACTGGCCTTTAGGTCCCGGACAGCAAGATGACCCGTTGGGGCAGAAATACCTGTCATCGCAGCGAATTACCCCTTGATCTAAGGGGCTGTCATGGGCCTCCTTTAGAGCTGTCATTGGTGTCTGTTAAAATCAAAAGATAAGCCACACTACAATTCAATACATTTTAAAAACCTTTTCAATTGTTTAAAGCCTTCAAAAGATATTATGAGGGGGGGAAAAGCAGCCACCCCAGATATGGCTGAGGAGTTCTGCTTAGAATATGAAGACAGTTTAGAGGAAATGAAACAAATCAATTTGGGCTGTAAAGCTACTTTAGCTTCTCTCATGGACATTTGAAGATTTCATCATCAAGGGGTGTACAAACTCTGGGAAAAACTAAATTCTTGAAGGGGTCAACAGTATCAAGAGCGTAAGTTGAGAGGAAACAAAAAAAAACTGCATTAACAATGATTCTATAAAGACAGGAGCAGGTTATGAAAAAATAAGATCATACACCGCTGTTGTTTACAGAATTTAAAGACAACAGAAAGAGGAGGGAGGATATGATTGTGGCCATGTGTTGCTTGTATCACCTTTCTAAAAAATCTATCCGATTACCCAAAACTGAATTTATCGATATTGGCACAAAAACTGGAACGTGCAGGAGTGGATTCATTTAAGTCGCTGGTCATCTCAATTTTGTGTTATATATAAGGGTTTTAGGGGCATCAGAACAGCTGGAGTGGAAAATTTTAAATATGACTTTTTGTAAATATGACAGCTATCATTAGGAATTTAAATTAACAGCCACATATATAAGCAGCTTAGAGGACTGGAGTTGAGACTTGTGTTTAAGACAAACATTTAACTCTTGTGTATGACAATTTTGGACAATTTGACCAAGCAGTTAAATGCTTATCCTTCACTTTGTCAGTTCCACACCAGAAAAGGTGAATAAAAACAAGTCTTGTACTTGTTCAGTGTGTCATCTCCTACCTCCTTCGTGTGGCTGTTGTCCTCCGACATCGAAATGAGAGAGGCGGGGACGGAAGTCAGGGCTTTTTTGGGGGTGAATGGATAACTCAGACCTTGCCTCACACAGTGCGTGTAGGTGAGGTCACAGTCGTAGCCATATGGGCAACAGTGGTAGCCATCCAGACAGCATCTCCCCTGCGGGACAAGGCCAAACCACAGAACCACAGAACCACGTCAGACAGTAGAAGAAAAACGCACACAAAACGGAAACCCCATTGCTCAGGCTGATCTACTCACAGGAGAGTAGGGACAACAGAACCAGGCGCCTTTTGGGTGTCTGCAGCAAGTGGTCCCATCGGGACACATGTAGTAATTGTCACAGTGGACGGCCGAACTCCTCTTTGCGTCCGGGGCGTTGCTGATTCCCAGCTGCTGAAAGGGGGTCAGGGACAGATCCGGTTCCTGGGCGGCCTGCTTGGTCTCCATGGGAACGCTCACCCACGGCTGGCCGACCTTCTCGCACATTTGCGTGGCCTGGTTGCAGCGATACCCCGAGGGGCAGCAGTGGGCCATGTCCGCACAGCACACGGCCTGCAGACACAGAGAGCCCACGCATGGCTGGCACCTATTTTCAGAGAGCAAATCATCGTTTTGCACCGGTGTGTGTGTTTGTGTGTGTGTGTCGGCCTGCCTGCGGATAAGGACAGCAGCTGTATCCATGCCGTGTCCGGCAGCAGGTGGAGAAGTCTGAGCAGACATTCCCATCAGGACATCTGACGGAGAGCGCGGCGCCCCACAGAAACACGCCAACGCACAGCCACAGAGTGAGCCTCAACATCTGGAAGAGGGAGCATCAGTGTGATCTCTTGTTCCTAATCTCTGAAGCCAAATGGGACTTGTTTGTATAAAGCATGCAAAAACCTTGAGGAGTTTCTTCACTTTTGAAATCAGTGTTAGGGCTTTCGCTTATATTTTGCTTCAAAACCGTTTAATTTATGCTCATCTTAAAGTTTTCGCCTTTTACCACAAACCCTCCGAGCACGATAAAGTGTAAAACGCTGTGGCTGTGGTTCTGAACCAAAGTTTCCGATAGATTTACAGTATTATACTTTTCTTACCTTCCGCCAGTCAAGTGATTTAAGGGTTTCCTGTCACACGCCTCACACTTCCCCTGAACTGAACAACTCAGAAGCAGCTGTCTCTATTGTACAGATGATAAGACACACCCCCTCAATAATATCAGAGAAATGAACCTTTACACACACCCGCACGTCCCATGACTGCCAAAAGATTACAACAGATATTCTTTTGAAATGTTTCAGGTTTCAACAGTTGCTGACTGTTGGATTTTCACAGGTTTGAATGATCATTGTAGGAGGCTGCTCCCTAAACCGCATAGTCCCACGCACACACTCCAGCTCAAAGACTGGCAAACTTTATGAGCTCAGACTGACCTTTGATTCCCTGCACTGTCTATAAACCTGTCTATAAACATCTCTTTTAAAAACCAGGAAGCTTCACCGCAAGTTCAGTTTATATACATGTTCAAACTTCAATTCTACCGTTGAATTAATCTTGGATAAATTATATAAGCCACCGTCCATGATGCGTTTTTCACTTTTCAATTGTTTTTTTTAAGCGTGGTACTCAAGGATCATGTTTGTTCACAGGAGCAGTTTCATCCCACCTCTTGTTTGCAGACATTTGCCTGTTCAATTGCCAGTAGTGGCAACAGATCCAAAAAATATGAGCAGTTTGTGCATGTTCCAGAGGGACTTCACAGCAAAACTTGTACTGATGACGGTACCGCCTGGTTGGAAAATGATCATTCAGTACTAAAGGAAAATGGACTTAAAATGCTGTCAGGCAGCAAGTTCTGAGCGTCCATTCGACCTCATGCAGAGTAAAACATCTGTTTTATCACATTTATACAAAGAGCAGAAACAATAAACAAAGCAAAAGTCTCATTTCAGACGAAGTAACAGCGACTAAGGCTAAATCAATACTTTATTAATGACTTTCCATTGTTTACACATTTACACTGCAGTGTAGCATCGCGTCCCACAAAACAACAATCCCTTGAATCCACGTTAACTGCATAGCCAACATGTCTAATAACAGATCCAACTTCAATATGAGGCTGGCGAGACATCAGGTCACAGAGTCTTACATGCATGACACAGGCACTAGCATAACAGCCTTGTGTAGCTATGGAAGATGTTGGGTGTGAAGCACAGGGAGGAACTCCCAGAGGGGCCAGCATACTGAAGGTGGCAGTGAGTGCACCGGGGTTTAAAAAACAAAAAAAACAAACAAAAAAACACCTCATTCCTGTGCTTGAAAGTACATTAAAAAAAAGGAAAAAAAAGGTCTACAAATGCACAGTGGTAGAATTGAACCAAAGACATTGTACCAGGTGCTCTCCTCTAGAGGGATGGCGTCTCCCCCGTTTACATTTCTAACCTCCTCCTTCAAGTGTGTCGCTGGAGCTGGATGAGAGAGGTTTTTGGTAGTCAAAAGGCAAAAGTTATGCTATTAGTGAACTGTCAGGGGAATGAGAACACCGCCGAGACACGTCTGTCAGTCGAGCTCCGAGTCCGAGTGAGACGTGGCCTTCTTTTTCTTTTTTCTGCCATGTTTCTTGTGTTTCTTTTTCCTCTTCTTCTTGGATTTGTCCTGGGAGCACAGACAAGTTTTTTTGTGAATTACAATTCAATATTTTTACGATATATGACATGTTCTTCTGCATGTAAATGAAAAAAAAAAGAAAAGTTTGTTAGAGGAAGCAGGGAAAACCCATCTGCTAATTGCAGTAGTACCATTAAATGATATCCGAGCATTGCAGATTCCCCACTGACACATAAAAACTAATTTGAGTTTGTTCATTTAGAGAAGAAAGTTATTTGAATATCTCACTGTGAATTTCTCCTTCTCCTCGCTACTTCTCTTTTTCTTCTTGGCTTCAACCTAAAGGGAGTGGGACAAAAGCCGTTACTGGAAAGTGGGAAGTCTTGAGCTAAAAAAAAGCTTCTCCTTTTACAATAATGGAGTTTTTGTCATGGAGTTGCCGTAAATGATTAGCAGTAGTTCCCAATTTCATCACACATGGATAATAAAAAAGATGAATAAACTGTTCTGAGGGAAACTTCACAGGCAAATGAAAATAATAGTGTCAGTTTTCCACAAAAATATCAATAAATATGAGACTGTTTTCCTTATAAATAAATATCATACAACATATCATTGCTCAGACTTTTGCATCGTTTGTGCAGCGACAAAGCAAAACTAAGCAAACATTTATTCACCATGATGCATCTGTAATCGTGTTTTATGACTAAAGACATGAACACACGTATTTTGTAACTTTAAAGTAAACTATGCAGACTGTTATGTGTGAAGTTAACTGAAAATACGAAACGTGATCATGATAAATGGACACACATTTAAAAAAAAGTCAGTTTCTGGTAAGAAGTGAAAGAGGAAGAAAGACCATTACGCTGGGGCTGTGAGAGTTGATGCATTGATTGAAAAAAAGAAAAAACACTGTGAATATGTGAGAACTAAATTAAGAAAGACTGAAACAAATCTTGTTTTGTGATTGGTGAAAACTGTTTCCTTCTCAGCCTCTTACTTCCCTTGTATCCATTTGGCACCAATGATACTTACTAGGTCTTCCCCATCCGAGTCAACGGATGACTCGGAGAGCGAATCCCTGTGACTTTTGTCGGCCTTCCTTTTCCTTCGGCGCCCCTTTTCATCCTGACAGGCAAGTAGGAGGGCCAATTCAAGCAGCTGAGAAATACACATTGGGGCATTTATCTTGTAGTTTTTAAAGGGTTTATTACCTTAACCTTGTCTCCTTCTTCCTTGATTCGTTTCCTTTTCTTTGTGGGAAGAAACAAAGCAGATTTAATGCCACAGGCTGTTTTCTATTTAAACAGACTGGCATCAAAGCTCTTTGGTGCCGTAAAGAGATAAGAAACCTTGCTCTCTGCGTCCGACTCTTCCTCCGAGCTGTCCGATGCTCTCCGGGCTGAAGACCTTTTTCGCTTCTTCTTTTTCTTCATACTCTTCTTTTCATCCTGTGCGCAGATAAAAACAGGTAAAAAGAAACAGATTAGCATTATCAAATACAGGTAAGTCCAACTATTACATCCCCTTCCAAATCAGACTTTTAATATTGAAGAGTTCATTCTGAGCTTTCAGAGCCATTACTGGTCCTAACTCTTTGAGGCCTTAAAGAACACATGCCTCCTTCTTAAGGCTTTCCCTCAATATGTAAACATTTTATTTTCTCCACTCTCAAGCGAGTACTTTCCCCAGAGGATGAGAAAGGAAAGCTTTCGGGGACGATTTTAAGCCTTTGGTAAAATAGAAACTCTGCTGTTTTGAAAAAAAACCCTGAGCGTACAATAGAAAACTATAACATGATTACATCCCCCAAATGGTGTTAACTCAGAAATGTTCCCTCCTAAAATGCTGGAAATAGGTGTGGACTTCCAATGACTCACCTCATCTTCAGACTCTGAGGAGGAACTGCTGGAGGAATCAGAACTCGATGAGGAGGAGGAAGATGAAGAATGCTTGACCAAAACACATTGAAAGCATTCTTCATTAGATTTGAGGTGGCGTGCTAATTTCTTGGAAATTATCATTCACAGCAGGCAATAAGAAGAAAAACAAAGCAGCTTTTTTGACAATGAGTGTGTGTTTGACATTAAGTGTGTCAGGCCATCAAACACTGGAGGTCTCTCCTCACCCTGCTTGGTTTCTTCTTCTCCTTCTTCTTTTTCTGAACACATAACAAAAGATAAAATGAGTTCAAGACAAGAAGACACTTTGAAATGTGTTCATTCTAAAATAAAACCTTATATTTCCATACCTCCTTTTTGTCTTTCTTCTCCTCTTTATCTTTGTCCACTGATTTTTTGTCTCTTTCTTTGTCACCAAGTAGCTTCTCTCTGTTTTTTGCCAGCTCTTTCCTCCATTTCTGAAAACAGAAAAACCACTGTCAATGTGACTATTTTTATCGACAAGTTGTTCCCAATATGCACCAACAAATCAATCCAAACACAGGATATGGTGTGGCAAAGGAATAGGTAACGAGAAATGTCAAACTGATGCTACCAGTTAGTATACCTCATTCATTTTGTCCTCAAATTCAGCCAGGGATCGAGAGCCCTTCTTTTTCTTCTCCAGCTGCTCCTTCAGCTCCTCCCTATCAATGAGGTAAAGGGTGGGTTGTAATGTATGCAGTAACGCAGTTTAATAAACCACAAGCTAATAAATCTTCTGGACAAACGTTGTCCAGTGTCCAACACATAAAAGACCCTTCCGTGAAACGAAATATGACATGTCATGAGCTTCAACAGGAGAGGACAAAAAAAAAAAAGGATCAAGAAAAACATCTGTAGGACCAGTGTTTTCATTTCAAATATTATCCCAGTAAGTACAATCTTGCCATGCATTTCCTACCTTAAGAGATGTCATTTACACCTCTTGTTTCTTGTGTTATTACTGTTCATATTATAGAGGGAATACATTTTAATTGGAGCCTTTAATGGTTAGATCTTAGCACCAGCACACTTCAGCCAAGAAACATGCTTGTCTAGTCCTCTTTTCTATCACCAAAAGAGTAACAATTACAGGACTTTTCCCCCCTTTACCATGTTGGTCGAGGTCTGCTTAAATAGTCCTGTATGGTTGGGCCAGAGCTCTGTGATGGTCCTCTGGCTCGAGCAGCAGCAATGGGATTGATGTATGCCTGAAAACACCAGACAAAGCCATCTTCAAACATCACCTGGCATCATCAACAGCAAACACTTTGCATCAACGTAACAAGCCACCAAAGCCATTCATCGACATCAGCTCTGTATGGGAGGCTGTTAATCGCAACACCGCCACGTGAGACAGTTATAAACACTGCGCAACATCTCCAAAACAGCACCATGAAAATGATGGAAGCTAAAGCTAGCATCTTCTTTGTGGCTAACAGGTCCACTCCTTTGTCGTAAGCAGCAACACGGCGGCCGAAGAAAAGTCAAGGCGGGACTATTAGAACCTTTCAAACACACGTTGTTCCGTCTCTGTGAAAGAGGTGAATTAATGAGGGGGCCGACGTGTCACTGACGAGGCCGTATGTTGTAGCAGCTACGTGTGCTAATCGATGCTAACTGCAGAGCTACCGCGCTAACCCGCGCTCCTCCTGCCCATCTGGACTTTAGCCGTTTTTCCTCATCAGTCGTAAACGCGACGCTACTCACCACTCGATTGTCCCTCTTGCCCATAACGAGTATACAAAGTGAAGATTTATTTCTCTCAACGGACCATGCATTAGTGTTTCCCTGCTAGCACCGAGCTAGCCTCCTCATAGTTTATTGACGCTAACAGCCTTTAGTCTTCGTTGGCTGCGACATGCATCCCAGGTGACACGTGACTGCCCCCTTGTGGAGGTCAATAGACATTACGCCCCTCAGCCGAGCTAAAAATAATTAATACCAATCATGCGTTACTATCTTCATGTCTGTTTTGATGCAATTCTAGCTGTAAACGGCATAAACAGGTGTAAATAAAATTAAGACCCAACCAGGAATAAGCAGTATATATAATAGCTTTAAAATGGAATTAAAATCCCAGTAAAGACATGCAGAAAGTTTTTATTATTTTCCAAAATCCAATTGAAGAAATGCTGAAAGCTTGTTACCTGTTTGACACATTTTTTTTTAAAACAGCGGACCAAATTTGAGATTGACTAAAAAATGGGATGAGGGGAAAACACAGCCTTCCCTCTTATATAGATAAAAAAAATATCAAAAGATGTTTTTAAAAAAATAAACCAACAAACCCAGATCCTTAGTTTTGGGTTGGAACAACCTCTGTACATGACTATTTGATAAGTCCAGTTTTTAGAGGTGAAATTATTCTCAATCACCCACATTGTATCCTTCAAATATATTTAGAAGAAATTTGCAAAACCAAGTGTAGAGAATCAAATAGTAGTTGAGTGTTGTGCCACATTATTACGATCACATCCATGGACGAGGCCAACGCATTCATAAAAAGCTCCTTTTTAATCAGCTGGTGCAACACAATAATACAACGCCAATGCATTCATACATAAGTATGTCAATCAGAGTGATATAATCGCTCAAGCAAGCTGACGTCAGCACAGTGGGACAGCTGTTGTGAGACTGAAATGTATTACAACTGGTTAAAACATATACGCATACAGTGACTGCATTAAGTGTAATGACACTAAAGCAATCATTATCTTTTTTTTTTGTAAACCACTATTTCTAAAGTATCTGTAGCTTGTTGCATTTTTTAAAAAACATTTATACCAGGATTACTGTTACTAAATATAGAGAATTCACACGATGTTTAGTTAAGCAGATACTTTTGCTTGTATTTTAGTCATGTGTGTTGGCATTAACAACAGCTGGCAACAACAGTCTAAACAGGCTTCAAACAGTAATGACTACAGTAACATATATTTGATAAATAGTAATGGCAGTAGACCTAAGACAAAATTGTGAGACAGCTTGAAAGAGAACCTGAAGGAGTTGTAATGTGGTCATTTAGTAGCCCAGAGTTGTGCAAACAGTGCCCGAGAGGTTTGGACGCCCAGAATAAAAACCTGAGAAAGTCAGAGAATGAGTTTGGATGTGCTGACTGCACTATCTGTTAAGAAAACATAAACCAGTGTTAAAATGTTACTGTTCCGAGAGAACTACAACATACAAAAATACAACCCTGCATAACTTGCTTTTTTCCTGGCTGGTAAAAAAAAAAAAAAATTAACTGCAATGCAACGGCACATGAATGAAAAATAAAAGCAAAACCTGACAAAAAACAAATAAAAATAACTTGTGCATCATTCATTTTATCAAAACTACTTTAAAATTCGTAGCCACGCTCAGCCCAAGCCGACAGAAATCCATCACTTCGTCCAAAAGACCAACCCAACGTTTTCAAAAAGACAGAAAACTCATCATACAACATTCCGCTGACCTTCACTATTCTAAGTCAATTTGCTTTTATGCAGTTTCTATGCGCTGACAGGCGCGTATCAAACCTTTTCTATCATTAAAGCTAGCACAATACACTGTACAGTACCAATGCCTTGCCTTTTTACATTCCTCACATACACAAACTATGATCATTTACAGAGTCGGTGTACTTGGTATAAGAGTAACATGCTGCAGCGTCTTAAGAAAAAAAAAAAAAAGTAAAGTAACAAGTATATAAGACTTGTCAATAAAATTAAAATTAAATACAGATTATTGGTGACGCTTTCGCCAAATGATTTGAAGTCCGATAGAGCTGGTGGGTACCTCTTCACCTGTTGTGAGCCTGTGCAGGTGTGGTAAAAAGCCCAGGATAGCAAGTTATAATCTATAAAAAAAAAACTTAAAGTAAAATGGCAGGATCAATTCTAATATCTCTCATCATTGTCTCAGCAATGATATCAGCCCAAAAGATGAGTTTCCTGAAGAGAGCAGCAACCATTAGATCCTGCTACTGGCTGGTCTGCAGTTACTCTTCACGTCCACAAGGAGGCGACATTGTTACAGGTAAAACTGGAATGGAGCGGAGTGAAACGGCAGTGAGTGGCTGGCTTGTGATTCCTTATAGCGTATCATCAAGTTCATAGTTACACGAGTGTGCTCGAGTCTGTGCCGGTACACACCGAGTGTTAAGTGTCTGAGAATGCGTCGACTCTTCACTTTTGCATTCTTCCACAGCGAGCACCAGGGCAGGTGAGATCCACGCCGTCCGCCGGGGTTCCGGTCCAGTCCCTCCGGTCAGGAGGAGTCCCAACGAGGCTCTACACTGGTCACAGAGAGGCCCCCTGCCCACCTCACTACGTATCAAAAGACGCAGGCTTCTTTGCATTGTTACACAGTCAATTACCAAAACTTCTCTAACTAAAAAAGCAGCAATTATGGTCCATCTATTCAGGGAACGGATGACACTTTTTTTTTTTGTGCATTGTTCTGGGAGGATGGTCGTCCCTTACACCACCTTTGCAGTCTCTGTTCTGGAGAGTTTTAAGAAGATTTACACATCAACCATAAAAGTATTAGTCTCCGTGAGCCCGTTCCATGTTTGGAGTCATGAAAACATCCATTTTGACACCCATTATCAGAAAGAAAAGGTTTCAGCCAAAACACTGTGTGGAAAAACTGCTTGTCGTATCTTCACCTGCTTTAATCAAAGCCTCTGGGAAGAAATGGGGAAAACACGCTTCCAAGGTCGAGCTTTTTTGGCCAACTAGCTGCTAAGCCAAAAGCCAAATCTTTGAAACTGTTTTTGTAAAGAATCTTAGGTGAAAACTGATACGGCAAAAGCGAGAAACAAGACATATGAGGGCAGCAACTGGAAAATACAACCCTTCAAAAGGAACACTGCAGGTGGTTAAAAGCGGAAAGAAGGACGTAGAAATGTTTTCTTAATGATGGAGGTAAATATCCATTTAACATTTTCAAAGAAGGAAGAAAACTGAAGTATCCAGACCAACACGGGAGGCAACTGAGGAGTCCTAGATCTGGTCATCTTCAACATGAGGATATCTGTCAAAGCTTTTGGCTTTCTACGTCCTAGTTTTGATGGTCTTTTTTTGTCTTGGGGCTGAAATCTTTTCTGCTGATCGGGGTCAAACAGCATGAATTGGTGCTTTTCATGATAAAACTACAAAGCACAAAGGCCTCGGAGCGCACTTCTAAGAGACACTGTTTGGGAGGACGAAGGGGAGCGGGAGGCAGTCCATCAGGCAGTCCGCTCCTCCATGGTGGGCTTGTTGCTGGGGATGGGCTGAGCAGCGTACACGCTTCTGCTGTGACTGTCCACACTTTGGAAGTAGGGGTGACTCAGCGCGGCCAGGGCCGATATTCTCCTCGAGGGGTTGAAGGCGAGAAATTGCTGCATAGGAGGATTGGGAAAGGACGGGAGGGCGGTTAGTTTAGGCTGAAAGGTTGCTCCATCTGCACTGTATCGGAACAGAGGACGGTCATCCTACCATTAACAGAGCTCGTCCCTGCTCGTCCATGTCCGGGACCAGGTCCTCTATCGGTTTCGGGGGCCGTGGGGTGAAGGCACTCTGTGGTAGGGCCACTTCCCTGGGCCAGTCCTCTTCTGAAGGCACCCCAACAACGCTGCAAGACGAAAAAAAGCGTTAATAAATAACGATTTTCCACTTTAAATATTTTCCATAATCCTTTCACACTTGCCGACTTTTGGCTAGATTGTTATACTGCTAGTGAAAACTACAAAACTGTGTTTACCTACTTTTAATCCAGAAACATAGAAGGTTTCTCACATGCTGTTCGTCTAACTGGATTTTAATACAGATAGATGGAAGCCTGGTATCTGGAGTTCTTTGCAAAATAACATCAAAACAAAGACGGGAATCCCCATCCTCAATACTCACTCAAAGATCTTTCCCAGCTGATCAACATCTGAGTTTCCTCGAAATAGCGGTCTGGAAGAGAGAAATTACAACCAGGTTAGTTTGACTGCTACCGCTCAAACTAATAAACCCCAAAAGTAACGACCCTTTCGACTTTAGATTGCGATGTTTAATGCTCCCTTTTCCCACCGCGGCGTATGAGCTTCTGGCTCGGGGCAAAAGAGGAATGTGTGAGTCTGCCGTGAACGTTTGAAGTTCACATGTCGGGACCGCTGAGGACGGGAGGGAGAGGGGGGGATGAAAAAGAGGGAGGAGAGCCGGAGCACGGCTGCTGGTGGTTCCTGTGGCTTTGGGCAGTCTCCGGGTGCCCGTGGGCGGCCGCGGCTTGACCTGGCACCCGCACAAATTCCAGCAGTCATAAGCACAAGCATGCGCGCCGCCGCACGGGACAGAAAAAAAAAAAAAGAGTCTATTTATCCATTTATGCGCGTCTGGTTTCGCTCTGGCTAAGTGTTGATGTGCGTAGGAAATTGTGAGGGGAAGGCATGTGAAAGAAAAGTTGGATTATTTGAACAGAAAAAGAGGTATGGCAACAAGACTTTCCTGTTCCAAGTTCCTCTGAAAGGAAACGAGGAGGCGGCGCTTTCAAAGAGAGGACTTTATTCCTCTATCGCACATCTCCGAACTTTTGGGCGATGCGAGATTAGATACCAGGAGTTAATGGAGGGTTAGGGTTAGGTTCCACATGGTTTATTAGTCCCCAGCAGGTGTCAATGTAAGGCAGGGTATAGGTGAGCTGCATGCACGTGTGCCTGTGTGTGTTTTGTCACCAGTACGGCCCACTGAGCTGAACTGAAGGCCATAGTCTGGCCTGCAACCCTGCATTTTCCCCCACTCGCAAGAACTCTTGCCGAGTCCAGCATTTTGCACTTTCCAACACAACTCCGCAGCCTCGGTCACACGTTGATGTTTTGCAGATGTTCTGCACTCGTACAGGAGAGCCTTCGTTCAGTCGGTTCGTTTGCTCAGAGACGGTTCCCTGAACGAATACATGTCTCAACTGACTTTTAAAAAAGGACCACCCCACTCATGCCAGCCTTTCAGCCTAAAGCTTCAAAAGCTATTTAAGATCAGACCAAACCAGTTTTTGACTGTTGCAAGAGACAGAGAGAGAGAGAAAAAAAAAGAAAAGAAAATCACCTACAGCAAAGCTATCATGCCAAAACAAGTAGGGCTGATAATTCCAAGAGGTCCATTTTTAAATTTAGTGGTTTGCTGGAAGGGGAAAACTGGGGATAACGCACATAAGGCTGGCCACTGGCATGCACACGGTCAACAGTTGGGCACAAGTACGTAACCGTGCCCACACACACACACACGAGCGAATTCCTGCAAATACCAGCTCACCGATTGGAATCGTTTCCCGTTCAGAGATTCGAACGCGTATGCACACATATATATATATATATATTCCTAAACAGGCGTAAAAAGCGGTGGCAGAGAAAAGACAGAGGCCGGGGTGGGATAGGCAGCTGAGTCACGCTTCCTTAAGTGCCACTAAAGCTCTGTCCCACATTCCACCGAGACGACCTCTGGAATGTGTGTGTGTGTGCGCGTGTGTGTGTGCGTCTGTTTGCACGTGTGAGCGGCAGTCTGTGTGGGAAATGGACAGAGTTCGAGAGCCAACGCATGTGTTTAGACCTGTCTTGGCTACACGGACATCTTGGCCCTCCACGGTTTTGCGTGTTGGATACGTCCAGGCGCACCTGCGATTTGTCCAAACCCACGTGCGCATGCGATTTATCAATCGGTTCGAGACTGTGAGAAAGTCAACACGGATGTAGGAGCCTCTCCCCAAGACCATTAACGCACCACGTTCGGCCTCTTTGATTGGAAGAATGTCAACAAAAAGACGGCGTGTTCGCTATTCACTCGAGCCGTGACTCACCCAGACACCATCCCAACCATGCAGATGCAGACTTGCATAATATTTGCACAAATTCCTGCAAACGCCATTCTCATCGAAGCACACAGTCGTTGAGGGCAGAAATTGACAATAGAAGCAAAGACGATGGTAAAAGGGAGAAATCTCTTCGTTTTCCTGAGTCTTAACGGAAATGTTTCTACGGTTTCTACGGTTCTACGGTCATTTTCTGACTTTCAGCATGAGGCGTTGGGGCACATGGCGGCTGGTGTGGCTCAGTGGGGCCATGAAATGCATTCATAAATTCAAAATGGGCATAACACATTGGGCGCAATGTGCCGTTTGGCCCACTTATCAAAAGCGGACGATTTTTAAATTGTGCTTTCATCAACGGTGTCCAAAACAGAAAGGTTTAAAGCCATCAGCCACTGTAACAAGACACCAACAACTTCCAACTAGGTGCGAGCTAACTGGAAAGACGTTAAGCCACAAACGTGGATGTTAAGTTCCATAGCTGTCAACGAACACAGTCACAAACTCAACTTAACAGCAAACTCGTAAACCATGTTTTCTCCCCTTCTCTTGTTCTGCACTTTCCCCTCAATCCCTCTTTTTCTTTCTATCACTGCTTCTCCCAGGTGCCCTTTAATCTCTGACAGGTGGCCTTTTAAAAAGCCATCTTAATCACCTGCAGAGTGTGTGTGTGTGTGTGTGTGTGTATTCTGTTCATAGCCATCAAAGGCCTCTGCCTCGCCTTCCACCTTAAGGAAATGTTGGGCCGGTGCCAGACCGTGCAGTCGCACACATGTCCGTACACACACAGCAAAGATTTTAACAGCTTATTGTGTCAGGAGGAGAGAGACGTCCTACATGACACACAGAGAGCGTTCTCTGCCATTGGGATGGGAAGAGACTCCCTCTGCTTTTGAACGGAACAATCCCCAAACTCCTATTGTTCAGGATTCCTGGTAATTAAGCAAAATGGGGTCTGTAGATGCTTGGTTTCGCATGTAAACACCCAGTCCTGTTTCTGATGTTGCTCACACTGTAAGAAGCTGAAAGAGTATTAAACGTTGACCTGTCCAGAAGTGAGGCAGAAGTAAACTGTCCATTGATTCCATTCATATTAAAGACTCAAAGATTTGAGGGAACTAAAGATATGACTGCTGGAAAAGAAGCAGCCACACTCCAGTTTCACCTAGAATCTTTTGAAAAATGACTTAAGTTCATCCACATGGGAACATACAGTATTTAGATAGTCAGAAACATTTAGGAGAAGTTACAACTTGTCTGACTATTACACAAATAATGCAAAGATGTTTAAGAGAAAATTGCGGATGTAAACCCATAGATACAAGTTCATCACAACCTGACTTGATCATTAAAAGCAAACCTAACCACGTGACAAATGACAAACTACACAACAAATCTCAAACAATAATTGATTATGATATAGATATGATAATTGGCACTGGCAAAGACAACGTCCAGCAGGAATCTCAGCTCATGCTTTTAATAATTTCCGCTCATTTGAGATGTAAAAAGACGGGCTAAAAAAATATTTCTTCAGAATCTAAAGATATTTGCGCAATACTTTGAAATTCATGGATGATGCACAGATATAGTCTTTATATCACCATGAAGCTGCTCCACTAATCATTTGTCGGGTAGCTGGAAATCAAATCTTGGCCCCCTGTGACCTTCTGTGCACTCGCACTGAGTCAAAACTGTCGAACAGGGTGGTTTTGAGTCTGCACATGATGGGTTCTGGGGACGGTTGAAGAGGAAGCGGGGCTGCTCCTCTTGGCAGTGAGCCCTACCTCAGAAAGACGGTTCTTATCTGCTGCACCACGCGCGCACGATTACAGACTGACAAACTCAAGAGTTTCGTCAAACATTTCTCAACAAATGGCAGCACATAACAGAATAACCTTTACGTCGAGATGACCGAATGAAATGGAACGTCCACATCTTTTCCTGTAGAAAAAGGCAAAGTCTTTTTCGGGTTGCGTTTCCTAAATTTGTCCGTTATTAGTCTGACTCTCCAGTGGGGTGAAGTTCGTTAGACCACAAACTGACAAATACCTATGCCAAGGAGCAGAATCTTGACTCGCGTGGCATAACCCCAACAGACGGCCTGCGTTACTGTAATGGTTTGATAAGCCAACTGAAATGTGATTGCTTACTGCTCACAACACATCCGACAGGTGTCATTTAAGGCGAAGATGACTGGTTTACGAAACTCTGAAATGACTGCATCTGTGTTCTGAACACCTCTAAGAAAAGGAAAAGATGCAAAGGGAATTAAAAATAAAATAATTTTCCTCCATCATGACGCCAATCAAGTCAAACACTTTGGACAGTAACTTTGGACATTTATGTGGATGTCATCACTTAATTGAAGCAGATGTACATATTTTTACAATAAATTTCTAATTGCGACATGGACAGAACTGGTCATTTCAAGACAACAATCATCTTTCAGTGAAACCAACTGCAGATGTCATTAGGATTTGAGCAGATGGAAGGGAGTAGATGCTATATCCACATCTCTATATACTGTGGTGTTGGATTCTGAAGAACATCAGAGATGGGACCCGTCGGCCTCGGCCTCACCTTCTCCTGAACATCTCTGCGAAGATGCAGCCGACACTCCACAGGTCCACCGGCGTGGCGTAGCTGGACTGCAGCAGCACTTCGGGGGCTCTGTACCACAGCGTCACCACCTGTCCCGGCCGGAGCAGAAAACCCATTAAGACTTTACCGAAACAAACCGAACACTTTCCAGCGGCATTATAGGTAAATGTGGCTATCTAGGGTGCTCCTATGCACAAAAACTAAGCAGGTTAAATGCTTCCCTGCTGCCATTTTGGCCTTACGCAAGACATGAAATCATATCTGGCAGACGCGTCTTTGCTCACATTGGGAGTACTGACACCAGAGTCTTTCCACAGCCGTTTACCAGGTACAAACAATTCAGGCACACATTCTAAAAGCACGAGTGTGTCGGTATGGAGTGTGGGTTTGGTGAATCGAAGCTGGTAGGTGGTGTGTAGGTTCTATGTGAAAGGAAAATGGCATAACATCAACCAAACCCCTCTATCACTTCTCCGTGTCAGAAAAAAAGAACTTCCTCCCTTTCATCGTACAAAACTGTACCCACCTGCAGCCATTTTGTGCCACTAAAACACATTAAGCACCGTGTCCAAATCGGTCCCTGTAAGAGCGGAGGAAGTAAAAGTGTGTGGAGCCTTCAGGAAAGCAGCATTGTTAACTGCTACAGTAGGGAAAGCCTCCAGACAAAACTCACTGACCCCTAGTAAGAGAGTGGACCGGTTCCAGGTGCTTTCCTAAACTCTAGAATTTTTTTCCAGCAGCTTTTGGCTGCAGTTCCGTTTTCAGGCGCTGCAGAGTGCTTATCGGGAGTCTGAGACATGCCTCACGTCAAGCTGAAACACACATCACTGTAAAAAGTCACCAATTTCTCTGACCGCCCTAAATACAGCAAACTCAGGAGAACCAAAGCGCCTTTACAAGAAAAAATATCAATTTATGCATGTGCAAACACTGAAAAATAAGAACAGCATGTTATCTTTACAGCTACTGTCCCATTTAAAAAATAGCTGTTCAATTAGGCTCTTGTTGATCAAACATGTTGCAACTTGCAGAACAAAAGAACAGCATGGTACACTGGTGTCATCACACCCGATTAAGACCAAATAAATCCTAGCACAGTCTAGAGCATTCTAAACTAGTCTGTAGCTAGATTATCTCATTAAACTTTGTGAACAAAGGAGAACGGTTAACTTTGTTAACACTATTTATGAACTTATATTGGACAATTTCTCTATTTGTGAAAGTGAGATGGGATAGTTTGACTCCCATAACAGTCTCTTTTGTATCTTAATGCAGTTTGGGCGGTTTTACAGAAACATTTTAGCAACATCAACCACTTTCTCTAAAATGTAGACTTCAACATTTAGCATTATTGCGCTAACTGGCTGAAAGATCTCCTGTCCTGCAATATCAGCTTTGAAATACTAGCCTTGATAACCCAAATAATGAAAGAAAAAAAAAGGATTATTTAAGGTCACAGTTATTGAACTGTAGGACACTTTTCTGAAAGAAGGAGCTTTAGATAATACACATGATCTGAAAAACATTACCAGGAGTTTAACATCTCAGCAGAACTATTGATCAAATAAAAAGGAGAGCTGGGTTTTGCTTCTAAATTGAATGTCACTATTAATAGAGCCACGGGCTGCATTTTGAAGATGTGTAATACTTTCATCTCTGCTTCCTGCTTCAGTGGAAACGGGGCGGAAGGTGAGGCTAGTTGGTTTAGCCATGAGATCAGAAGTGAGGCGCACGCTAAGAATGAACATACTGACTCTGTTCGGGCCATTGAAGAATTTTACAACAGTGAAACCTCAAAGAAAAACCTGAATGGAAGTTGCAATTACACGCTGCCATTTGCCTTTATTTGACATGGAAGACCCTTGGCTTGCACAGCTTATTTTTTTATCCCATCTTACATTACTACAGCCATTCAATCAGCTGCAGTTTAGTGTGTATCATAATGCATTTCCCCCCAGCAAATACACTGCACAGCCAAAGCCATCAAATTGCTTTGTTTTTCTTTACTAATGAATCAGTATCTTCTTAAAACTCTTGCAGTTGCAGACTTAAATGCACAGACCTCAGTCTACTGCATGGAAATTCAGAGCTGATACGAGCTCATACAAAGCCTTCTAGGAAGAACCACAGACCTAGAGCTCTGAGTATATCCGCCTCACAGTTATTTGAAAACCAAGCCACAGATACAGACTATGGCACATAAAACATGTAAGACAGACAGACGCAACGGAAGAGAGATGCAGCGAGTAACGATTCATTGTGAAATTTCTTTCCTTATTCGTATCTGATCCATCGGTGCATTCAAAGCTGCAGCCAAAAAGTCCAGAAGTTATTTCTGCTGCAGACCATTTTATAGTGACGGAAAAGATGGTTACACTTTGCAGCTGTGGTTTATTTCAAACTTTTCCCAAGATAAGGCCGACATGCAATGATACAATTTAAACCCTGTCCATTTGAAAAGTTGATTGCTTCTTTTATATATCTATTTTTTAATGTGCACACTAAATTTCATGTCTGTTACATACATCAATTATCTGATGATGAAGATGAAATAGGTCCAATTTGATAACAAAGAACAAATATTTAATAGTTGAATTGCTAGTAAACCTCTATTTTTATTATTAGAAGACTCATTGGGAAAATTCTGCCAAAAATATCAAATCTCTTTTGTACCTATAATCCTGTAATAGTATAAGATGAGATGACTTTTGTTTTCAGTGGTTGTCGTATAAATAAACTGAACTAAGCAACTCCCCTCGGCTGGGAGATGTTCCACAAGGTGTTACACTGATTTTCCAGTGTTTTTCCTTACTCTACTACTACTGGTAAGTGCAGCAATAACAATAATTCATTGCCTTTACACCACTCCTCCACCTGTACAAAACAAGCATCAGTACATAGCATTTTCATTTCCCCATCTACTGACGCCTCCACTTTCCATTTAACCTGCCATCCTACCTGCTTCTTCTGCAGACTCATTCTCTATAAAACCTTTATTTCACTATCTGTGAATTTCCCAACATCTATAAAAGCCATATGGCCAAAAGGCAGAGGAGCCAACAGCTGAACTGGCCTATAATATCCATGCATGGACATTAAACACGCACAGTTTCACACACTCCATTTATTGCTCAGTTTGAAAGCCTATTGGACTAAACATCTCAACACTATTTGTGCAGAAAGTACATGCTCTGAGTCATAGCTTAAACACAAAATTTAACAGTCATTTTCACAGGGATGATTACGAAAACGTGTCCATTGTAAAGTAAGAAGAACTTTCTCCAATTTAATGTACTTTTTGATGCGTTTTATCCTCCTCTTCTTCTTCTCCCTTCCAACATTGCATTCCTGCTTCCTCAGTCTCTCTTTCTCACCCTTCTCATTCTCTGTTCTGTTCCACATATCCCTTCATTATCCAGTCCTGCTCTCCCTCATCTGTATGGGCGGCATGGAAACGGATACAGATTCCAGCGTACAGTACCCCGGATGAGTCACAGATAGAGAAAGTGAGTCAGCCCGACAATATGTGCCTCATTGTTTTTTCTTTAAAGGGAGCCGCTTTGCACCGTCAACCGGTCTCTCCGTGCCTATCCGACACCCTGCTTCCCCCCTTCGGCGTGGTAACCGAAAACCCAGAAGAGAGGTCAGACAGAGCCAGGGGAGAAAAAGAGTGAAGGAGCGAAGCCGAGAGAGACAGCGAGTGTGTGAGGCTGACTCCAGATTAAAGGACAACATTCTGGGAATTCCTTTCTGCTGAGTGCATCCTCCCCCTCACCACCAGCACCATCCTCCACACAGCTCTCGCTGCTGCACTCTCTTCCCTGCTCCCCATGAAGAAGGAAATGGCTTCTCCTGCCCCAGAGGACCTCCAGACCTCCTAGGCAAGACCTCCAAGCTCGTCCACTTTGCAACATCCGGACCTGGGCTACCAGTGCACTGCGCCCGTACAATGGAGCAGCAGGACAATAGGGCGCATGCTTGTGAGCGTGGGGGCGTTTGGCTTGCACGTGACTTGGAGAGCACCTGCTTTGGCCTACATGACTGTGCTCAAGGGCCACTGTACAGTATGTGGTATCTGACAAATGCATGAAGGTTATTTGTAGCTGCTGTTTGATGCATGCGTGACAAGTTGGCTCTTTTTCCAGATTTGCTCCCTATTCTTCTACTCTGATTCGGTAACTAGATCATATATTGCTGCTTTTTGTCTGGTGATGATCTTTGTTCCAGTGTGTCAGTTCTCCAACCAAGTTACAAACACAAACTGACTAAATCAGAGAATATAGTCAACAAAATGCATAAAGGTATTTTCAAGGTACTTTCCAACACAATATCTAAGCTACGTCAAATATTCCACAATCATCATCCTGCTTCTGAGTATGGGGCTTTTGGGAATCCCTTTCGTCGTTCTGTACTCCATGACTCCCATAACATTTTCCCATAAGTCGCTGAGATCTTCCTTAGGGTACCTAAGAGAGTGACCTAAGGTTGAGGGGCCACAGCACAGGAGGCCACGGTGGACGGCTGCCGGGGCTTGGCTGGAGGCCAGTGTTTACATTCCCTCTCACTGAGGAAGCCAGGGATGAAAGCACACCACGGCACATGGACGTTTACCCTCCGCACACACGGGCAGCACTCACATACGAGTGCTCCACATGCGTTCCGAGGCAAAAACGACCGCTGGGAACTGAGAAGAGCACAATGGCCAGTTTAAGCCGCCGGCAAAGAGTGGGACGGGCCAGAGAGAGGCTCATTCCCCCTGCGCTTGATCAGCTGTCTGCTGCATCCAGGCTGAACTCCAGTTTGATTACATTCCTGAAAGCAATTCATCATAAATTAAAGTCTTCCTCTGAAGACCTCAGAGGGACGCGGAGCGTATAGGCCGGCCACATATGGGTGAGGCAGAGCGGATGTCCTATTAATAAGCCCAGAAATGGACTGAGGCTCCAGTACAGTAGAGAGAATGTGATGTTGTGCCTCCAGAGAGGCCCCATTCAAAGTTCCAGCAGTCAGTCAAGTTGTAAACACCATTATTTCAACTCCTCCCTCACTTTCCCTCTTTTTTCCACTTGTTTTGCTAAAAAAAAAAAAAGGACAATTTACCGCTGTGACAATGTCACCTCGTCGGGCCAAGAAAGGACTAGGGAGATTTAGGAGGGGGGGGACATGTGGAGGGGACGGTGGATTTTATCGGGGGCCGAAGGGGAAAGCAAAGAAAGAGACGGGAGTGTGGAGAAAAAGTGCAAGAGCAGCACACAGACTGTATACAGTAAACCGGAGAAAGGGGCTCTGCAACTGTTGCCAAAGTATGCACAGCGTACAGGAATGCAGCACGGGGCCCTCAGCAAACGAAACAAAGACAGCACAGTCAGTGGCTCTCTCTCCCCAGTGCTACCACATCCGCACATCATTAGCTGGAAAATTCCTGATATATGCCGTAATTTTTTCTTCACCCCCCTTTCCTATTCCTCTCTCTGTTGCTGGTGGAGACCGGGCTTTAACATCCAGGTGACCATGCGTACACATGCAATGCACAGTTCCCAATCGGTACCCCTTATCCCCCCCACCACCACCTGGAGCAGGGCCGAGATAGTGCCAAGGGTTGATACAGTGGAGGGAATTGTGGGAGAGTCCGAGTGCCCATCTGTTGGACACATTAATGGGGTTCAACGCGAAATCAAACAAAGCCCACGCTGTGCAGCCGAGGGCATGCGTACGTATGCACAAACTTGCGCGGAAACACGACTTCATTTTCTGCGCGCATGCATGCAGAATATCATTCCTGATCATGCCTATGTGTTTGAACTGCGAGCGTGTTTGCTTATGTCAAGCTGGGGCCAGCCCCTTTGCTCCATAAGACTGCAGCCAAGCACCGAGGATGACTTTTCCTTTTTTTTCCCCATGTGGAGCCATTTGAGGAGATATCTAAACATTCCCAGAGTGTGCTGCACGTGCTCTCCTTCGTGCTGTAGGAGGGATTTCCCCCCCCCCCCCCTCTCTCCCGGCTGCTGCTCGCCTATCTTTTTGCCTGTTCAGAGCAGGACCCTCAACACACGACTGTCCAGGTCTTGGCCATCGTCATCGAGTGACTGCCCGTCCGTTTCTGGCCTCTGATTGTTGATTTAAGTAGTCAGATGGTTCCATGAGATATAACTGGGAAAGAAAATCAAAAACAAAACCATACTTGCATCATGACCGTTACAGCTTGATGCGGGTGAGGAAACGGCAAACCTAAAATTCGGTCAGACAGCAAAATGTCTGCATGGTATAAAAAATTTAAAAAGTGTACATTCAAAAAGCAAAGATATTAGTCCTCACAGAAAAGAGTCGGGCTTCTTAACTTGTGCTGCAAAAGCCTGTCTGCTGTTTAAACACAGGCAGGAAATCTGGTTTCAATTGGTTTAATGTCGTGTGAGATATGGGTGTCTTATTCTGGGTAAGAGCAGTGGGAGTTCTGTGAGCAGAGGGAACTGGGGGGGAGGTTTGGGAAAATACCTTTGATCAGGTAACAGTTTCCTTCTTCTGCCGTCGCCAACACTGAAGTTTACAGGAAACCATAACAGCAACAGTTGTGAGTTGGCGATGACGCTTTAAGCAGCGCTTACAGTAGCAGGATTAACACATGTTAATGTGATCAAATCAGTCAAGAATCAAAAGGCTTGAGCTGAAAGTGTAAAAAAGAAAATTAATTTAGCTTACCTTTCATTCAATTACAGACTTTAGCTAACTTTAGCCACTAAAAAGCCTATCTCCTCTTCAGTAAACCATGGCAACGCATCAGTAACTTCTCACCAGGATCGAGCTTCAACAGTTAATATAAGTGTGGCGGCATTCCCCCCCGAGTTTTCCCAAATCCAATTTGACAGGCAACAACACGCACATGACATGCATGGGAGTGTAAACTAATGGCTTTCATGGGATCATCCGGCCTCTCGTGTATTACTATGGCTGCCAACGTGTGGAAAGACCCCCCGTGGTCCGCCTAGTGGAGGTTATCTTTAGAAAACAACATCTTACCTGACCTCTTATCCTGTCAGCTGCAAATCCAAAACCATTTCCCCAAATGATTTCCAGATGACTTCTAAAGATTTTCTTTTTTAAACTTAGCTGAGTAAAAGGTGAGAAGTTGGCCTTTAGCTAAGACTGATGAAGGTATTTGATAATTAGACGTACAAGGACCAAAATCTTCATGTATAGAAGGTTTGTACTTGGCAAATTCCATTATTAGCAGGTATACGGAATCAGCTGACATCGGGGGCACCAGAAGTGGTCACTAAACAAACGAAAGCTTGAAGATGCAGATCTAAACATAGATGCAAATGCAAGGGAACGTGGCCAAGTCAACTAGAAGACGTTTAATGACAAACACACCAAACATCTTTTGTCTGTGTGCATGTCCCAAGCAAACAGAACATTTCCACTGCATGTTTTTTTTTTTTATATGACCGTTGAGGTATACATGCAAGAATTGAAGAGAACACACCGTTTTCAGAAAAACGAGCTTGCTTAAAAGTTAGTTACCGTAACACTCCAAAATGTTTGGATATTAAACAGATATTGTGGTATTTAATTTCTACGTAAAAGCGCTGGCTAAAATTGCAATGAAGATTATTTTTAGGTTTTAATATGGTGGAAAATTTGGTCTTCCATCAGCCCACTTAAAGCCTTTATTTTTTAGCCCAACCCCCAGAAAAACGTATGATTCTCCCAACTTTGGTGGGAATTTTATACAAATTGGAAGACATTTTTGTATTATTTAATCAAATAATTCTTTATAGAGCCATAAGTCTTTGCCGTACAGCACAATTTGGGTGAATTTATTACAAATTAGAACAAGAACAAAAGGAAAAACTTTTAATTGAAGTACTTTCATAGAAATGGGACCTCAGTAGTTTGGCCAGGAAAAAAAAAAAAGTTCCTTCAGCGCCCTTTTGTCGCATGTCAGATTAAACCATTGGCTTTTCCCATCTGCCTGTCACTCAAGGTAGCACAATGAGCCTCTAGCCAGGCTGGGGTCAATAAAAACCATCAACAAAGCAACGGTCCCTCAGGGATTGCAGGGGCAGCCTAATCTAGACCCCCATACCAGCCCGATGGGTGGTCTCCCTCCCTCTTCCTCGTTTCTAACTCTCCCTCTCTCGAAGACGGTGAAAAATGTGCGACGTGATTGTGGAGTGACGCTGACAAAGCTATCAGTCAAACGCAATCATGCATGTTCTCAGACTCCACCACGCAGCTTTGAACACACACACACGCACGCTGACCACACACTGACCACACACTTTGCCAATGACAAAAACAACCCAGCTCGTTGCTAAGTGAGAAAGCAAATTCTTTGAAAAAAAAAAAAAAAAGAGAAGTTCAAGCAATCTTGTTAGACCATCAGCAGAAACTACAAGAGTGCCATTTTCAGTTAGCAACTTAGGGGAAAAAAGCAATGGAGGGACTAACAGTTTCATGCAAATGTTCGCTGCAGCCAGCCTGTCATTTTACAAGTACTAAGTGAATCATTTTGAAAGTGAGAGAAATCGCCCCATTTGCTGAAGCAACAGCAGTTCTCCAAAGCTCTACAGCCTGCCAGTAATAGTGGCTTTAGGTGACTAAATAAGTAACTGCTCGTCTGTTGGGCAAAGGGGAAGATCCTCTTGAACGCTGTGTGTTTTTGTGCATATGTGCAGCGCAGACGGTGTAGATTAGGTGCTTTAATTAGCAAGAGGAAACAATGAACGGGTGAATGGAGATTGTGCCTGTGTGTTGGACTGATAGGGGGATTCCAAACACAGGAACAGTCATCAGGAACTGAAGATCCTGCGCTCACGTTGCAGAGGTTCAATGCGGCGCGTGTGTGCGCTAAGAGCACACACAGACACACACACACAGACACACACACACACACACACACAGACATCCATCGCATTTTTCGTGACCCAATCTGTATAACCAGGGAAGGAAATGAGTGTGTGAATGTGAGTGCAGACATATTCAGAGTGAAACCCTCAGTGCTTGAGTAGTTTCAGGGACTTGATATGTGTCAATTAAATACAAAGGTGAATTCCCCTTTTTCAACCCTCAACAAAAAGTATCCCGTATAGTCATAACAGGAGAAGAAGAAGAAAAGCCCTCCGGTGAAACCACCGATTAACTTAGTGTTGTGCAACACTATGTAAATTATATGGTGATGTTTTTTTTTCTCTATAGTTAGCTTTTAATTATCGTCAATCAGGAGGACAAAATCAAACATTAACTGAGGAAAGGATCATCTTAATCACAAAAAGACCCTTAATAATAAAAACACAGAACTATATCAGTAATATTCATATCATTTACCAAATTGACTGAAGTCAGGAATCTAAAAAGAGATAAACTCATTAAAACTGACATTTAAATCCTTGATTTTATCAGAACTGATTTCATAATGATGAATGTCACGTGTAGTGTAAAAGTTCCTTCCCTCAGTTAAACTTACATCTGATCACATTATCTGTGGCTCCTCAAAAGCTAAATTCAAATGGAAAGAATTCCTGTTAAATTATAATTAACCTTAAAAACTGTGAGCCTTCCCGACGACCAACTTAACCAACGTCCCCGAGACCTGTAGTTTTCATTTCCCATTGTGGGCAGCGCAGTAGGAAGTATGAACATGGAAACTGGTGAAGGTATACACCGAGATCTATAGTTCAGCTTTATTTTCTACATAGCTGGAATAAAAATCACTTACTGTGGGTTTGACAGCAGCCTTTTTAACATAAATATCACAACTCTGTCACTGTGTTTTCTCCCCTTTTTTTAACAAACACCTGAGAGTTGTGGAGACTGAAACCATTTGCACATGCAGAAACCTGAAGTATCGTCTGCATCACACTTCAGGACAATCAAAACCAAACACACTTTGCTGAACATGGGAAACAAGTGGTCCTAAAACATTTTGTTTTGCATAACCAAACTCAGAACACCTAGGTTAACTGTAGGTGTGTAGGTGTCTAATTTAACACAGTAAGCTTAAGTTATCCATCTCAATGGATATTTGTCCCCAGTTTCTTTACACCTTCAAAGCAAACTCAACGCAGTCTTGGATGTAAAAAGGATAAAAGTATAACTTTTGCATTAACGGATTTTATATAATGTACTGATAATAACAAGATTGGAGTCTATAAAAGAAAAGTCTAAAAAAATAAAGAATAAAAAAGCTACTCCTGCACAGTCAATGACCTTAAAAGTCTCATCTATCCTTATTTCTAACTATTCTAAAGATTCCTTTCAGACTCTCTCTATATTATCTGGTCATCAGAGCCCAGAACTCAACAGTCGGACATCAAAGTGCCGACAGTGGAAAGGGAGGGTTGTCCGTCTCTCCTTGTCTGATCCATCCCTCTCTGTGACAGCCACTGAGGGATTCCTGGGACGGGCCGGGGGGGGGGGGGGGGTGGGGGGGGGGGGGGGGGGGGGGGGGCTTGGCTCTCACTTTACACAGAGAAATCCTATCATCTGGCGCACTTCTCCCGAGCTACCCGCTGATGCCCTGTAAGTGCCCGCTACAGCACATTAGACGCTTTTCATCCAAGTCTCTGGAGATGAGAGGGAAGTTCAAGGCAGCGTTTGTGCTTGTGTGTGTGTGTGTGTGTGTGTGTGTGTGGGGGGGGTCAAATAGGATTGATAATGTCCGTATGAGCAAGTCGCCCCCACATTTCCCAAAGTTTGTCCTCGTTATTGCGTACGTTTGTGTGAAATCAGTTTGAGCTGCTTTAAAACTCAAACTTGTTTCAGAATCCTATCGGTCGTAATCCAGCTGACAAGGAGGCCCAGCGGGTTAAGTAGTTTTGGCCAGTTGTAGCCAGAGTTGGGAACAATGTTTTTGAGCCCTGCTGTGTTCAGATGCACGAACAATGTAACTCACCACAGACGTGAGCGCCATCTGGAAGCTGTAGATGCGGGCCAGACCAAAGTCGGCCAGCTTGATCTGTCCTCCGCTGGTCACCAGGATGTTTTGGGGCTTCAGGTCACGGTGAACCACGCGATGCGAGTGCAGGAAGTCCAGCCCCTGGAGCAGCTGGTACATCATATCCTTTAAGGTGACAAAGACAGAAATAGCAAAGAAGCATTTCAACGAATCTCACAGTGTTATCCCGAAAACAATAAATCTGACTTTAAGGTCGAAATGTAACGAGAGGCTGTTGGGGGGTAAAAGCAGGGATGACAACGCTTTCAAGGCGTACGCACATTCACTTTACAACTTCAAATGATTCCAACTGATCTGTGATTTTATTGTTCGGTCAAAGGAACAAAAGGCCTGAGTGACAAGTGCCTGCAGGGCGAGAAAAATCAGTATAAAAGCTGAGACGCCGTGGTGCGGAGGGAGTTAACAGGAGAGGGCCTGTGTCTTTTCTTGTTGACTGTGGCAGATGTTTGATAACCGACACACATACACACACTCATACACACACAAATGATAGAGGCTGAAAGAGGCCCCGGCTTTGTACAAGCACGGATCCCTGTTACTCAGCAGCTGTCCTGCTTTGGTTAATTGGCGCTTGCTTTCTTTTTATGCTCAAAAGCTGACCTCAGGAATGGGTTATAGAGCAGGCTCTGCTTCCCCAACACACTACCAAAAGTAAACTGTTTGGAGCAGGAACCAACGCCGCCAAAACCAGATTAGACTTGTTCTTTTCAAACCGAAATACTCCAAACAGGTCCGACACCTGTAAACAAATAAGCGACGACAGGGGAACGGCGGGTTTTTGGTAGATCGGGGACTCAGATTTGACGAACCCCGCGTAGCAGCGTTTACTTGTTTGTTTAGCTTTTGTAGACGTCCGTCCAGCTGCTGGGAAGACAATGCGGACAGAGGAAGATGAGGGATAAGCGACACAGAACACATGCCCCCCTTTTTTTTCCTCGGAGCTGTTCTCAAAGCCGTGCCGAAACCCCTCCAGCAAGACCCCACAAGTGACATGGATCTGAGCCCACGGCTCTATTCAGGGGCCTGACCAGCTGGTGTGTGAGTCAAAGGGGGTTCCGAGCACTCAAGCAGAAAACATTAGCAAACGGCGCGGGGCTGGCGGCCGCGCTGGCCGGCCGCGGAGTAGGAGGAGGAGGAAGAGGAGGAGGAGGAGTGAGGGCGGCCCACACAATGCTGCGCGGACCAGGAGTGGTTTGTGCGCGTAAACACAAACTCAATGCCTCCCTGGGTCGGTGGAAAAGAAAAAAAAGGAAAAAAAGCATGTGTGTATGGGTGCCCCATGCCCAAGGACAGGATGCATAAACAGACCTTCCTTTCTACATCTCCATCCAGCCATGACCTACAGAGGAGGGCAGCAGACAGACAGGGCCATAGGATGGAGGCAGTTGGTCATTTTGTGAATATGGGTGTTAGTGTGTGTGGGTTTGTGTGTGTGTGTGTGTGTGTGTCACGGGGGCCTCACACAATAGCATGCCCCCACCCATTAGTTCCTTTCTGCTTTAAATAGTCATTTCTCCGTGCTTCCTTTCAACAGCATTTCCTCGTAAACACTAATTATCTCACAAGTGTGACTCTTAGACACCGGCAGTCTTGGCCTTCCTCGGCTCCTCTATAGCATCAGTTACAATCAGATCAGTCAAGAATGACACCGGTGCCCTTAAAACACTCGCTCGATAATAAAGAGAGAGCTTCTGGCAAAGGGGATTTACCACGCTCGCACCGGTTCACTTAGTGTCAAATAACAAGGCAGGTCTTCCTTCAGCTGGTAAGACTTCAACCACAACTCCCACTAACAACGTGGTTGGAAGGAAACAAAAGAAATCAGACAAAAAAAAGGCAACACATCCTTAAAAAAAAAACAGGAAGACAAGGAGGAAAAAGTAGTCGGTCCACTGCGAATGGCAGTCAAAATATGGCTTTCTGAATTCCCTTCCTTTTCTGATGCAAATGTGCCACAGGCAGCCATATTGTTTATTGTAACTAGGCACAATATAGGACATCTGCCGGTTAACGTTAGTGCAATTCCCTCCCCATGCTTCATTAGCCTCCCCCCCCTTCATAGGCCCACCAGAGAACAGAGATGTGGAAGCTTGGATGATGGTGGCGAAAGGAGGGTGGGTGAGAGACCCCAAGCGCTGCTCCGGCCGAGGAGCACTGAGGCCGGGGCAATCTGGCTCCTTGATGTCCTTCCAGCTCATTTGATTTCTGGAGGAGGGCCTCTTTCATCAATGACTGTGTGGTGGGTCTCCAGTCTGAGTGGGTGGTGGAGGGTGGGGAGCTGAACTGGACAGACTGAGCCGTGGTGGGGCGTCTGGTGCTAGGGCCGGGCGGTTTGGAAAAAAAAGTACGGCTGTTCTTTTAGTTTTAAGGACGTTGGCTGAGGAGTAAATGCTTCTTCTTGGTTAAGGGGGGAATACGTTCATATCGTAAAGGCTTCAACTTCCAAGGATGAATCAGATGGGTACTGGTGTAACAGGGATCTACAATCTGGTGTCATATGGTAGGGCTCAGGGTAACTAAAGCTGTTTGTTGGGGAGGGGGTGGTGGGGTCAAATTCGGGGCATTGTGTCCACTGTCCTAGAAATAACAGGGAATGGTGCTTATGATGCCTTTGTCCCCTCAAGGCTTGTACAGATGTCAGGAGAAAGCGTAGGGAGGAGGAGTTGTTCAGCATGATACAAACCAAGAACTCGTCCCACTGTTCAAGGGTGTCTGAAGAATCCTTCATAAAAAACAAACAAACAACCTCCTCCTGACTTAGAGTTGTTGGGGTTAGAGTCAGGGGTACGTCCAGTGCACCCCTTATCCAGCAACAGCCAATAGCAGATGCAAATGTAGCAACTGGAGAACGTTTTGGTCAAATCAATGATGCTGTCGACATTCAGCTGATTCCATGGGCTTGATGTGTGTAACCACACAGTTCAGAGGGGCCGAGCAGCCTGTTGGGCCAAAGATGGCGGCTTTTCTAAGACCTCGCTACTGGGCCTATTGGACGCAACAGATATTGAAAGGGGGATTGTCCAAAACTAGATATTCAGTTAGACCTACTTATCATCAGTCGTGATAGATCTCACTAAGTGGAAACGGTCTGAACTATTTCACTCAAACAAAAAAGTTTGATAAAAAAAATAGAAATATTCCAGACAGGTGACACGAACCGCAACTAAGAATAAGCAGGAGCAATCTTTAGTTTTTAAAACTTAGTTTTAAAGGATATAAATATTTGACGAGTACAATTAAGTGGGTAGAACTTAAGGGCTGGGCTGAGGGGTAACCAAGAAAATATTTCTGTTTGATAAATGGTTCTCGTGGCACAAGAAAGCCGACAGATCTGGAGGCAGTGCAGAACAGGATGTTAAGTCCTCTTTGTCACCTCAGCCCTTCCTGCCAAACAGGCAGTAACAGTGAATTAAGGCTTAAGATTAAAACAGTAGACACACCAAAGGTTAAAAACGGGGGCCTTTCTTTAAGTCCATGTGACAACCACGATGTGTTGATGTGAATCAGGTCAGCAGAAGCAGGCAGACCTCTAAAACCTCCAGGACAGCAGCCCTCGATAACTTTCTCAGCATAGGACAACGAGCATTGCTTTGCGATGGTAAGAAGCTTCAATAGCCACAACACAATGTTCACTCAAACTCTATTGAATTTTTTTTTTAAGGTTTGAATGGGTTTAGTTTCTGAACATCTGCCATTTAGTGTTTCTGAGCAGCTATAAGCTCATCTCGCCTGTCAGGAAACCTCCAGAGGGACCACTCTAATCCCCATCGACTTTACACAACCCCACATAGACAGAAATAAATAAACAAACATCCCTTTACAGAATCATTATGCAGATATGTAATGCATGCCTTGATATATACTATATTTAAATCGATACACAAGTTAAGAGACATGATTAAAGCTGGATCATCATTCAATGCAAAGACAGGATGGCTAACATTTATATATTAATATAGTATTTTGCCATCTGTTAATCTTTTTAGGCCCACTTCATTCAGATATGGACTCTGCTCCCATTTATGGTGTGGTACATTAACAGAATCCTACTGATCGTGGATTCTTTCCATTCCTACTCTTCTTAGAGAAACTTGGTCTGAGCTGATTGAAGCAATACTTATGATCTATTCTGTTGATGGGATTCCAGTCTTGAGGCAAATAAACTTTAGGGCACGAACTTATCGTCAACAGATTTTGAGGGGAAGATCAATGAGCAAAAGAAAAGCCCCAAATCAGGACAGGAGGAGTTTGAACGTTTAAACCCGTGTCCCTTTTATGCAGTAATGCTTTTGCGGTTAATTCATGGCCCGTTTGGTCCATCGTGGCCACACGGACACATCCACAGACTCTAAACGACTACACCCTGTATCAGCTTCAGCAGAGGCCTCAGGTGCAGTCCACCTGACTCTACTGGGTTTTAAATCCGACACTTCAGACTGTGAGACTTACAGATCTACAAACCTCAGGGTGAAACTCAATGAAGATAAGTAAAAAAGAAAAAAGAAAAGGGTTAAGACTAAAGGAGACAGTTAAAGGAGGTGGTAACACATCCACTTCCGACCTTTGGGCGACTTGTAAATGTACACTTCATGGACTTATCCGAAGAAAGGCTGATTTTGGTGGCGAGGTAGAATGATTTGGGACCAACAGTAAAACTCAAATGGAGTAGTTTTGACTTTTCAGAACGAAGGGAAGACTTTTTAAAGCTGGCTCTCAGCCTCCATCTGTAGCACTGTTAAGTTGCAGGGCAGGGTGGAAATAGAGAAGGCTCGGAGCCTCTAATTTGGAGCCCATCTGCCACATGTGCCGCCTTTACAAATGCACCGATACCTCGGATTTTGGAGGAACTGCCCAACGTTTCCTCCATTTCTGGTCAAGAAAACTCAGGCCGAACCATTGAGTGTGTTCACCCAGAGCTGAAGTCACGTAGTGTTGACCAAGAGCTTCCTTTAAACTCCAAATAGAAACTGAGAATAACACTTCAAATGCAGTTCCTTCATCTTTTTAAAATGTGTTTTAGATGGCCATTCATGTATTTGCGGCACCTAAAGAGAGCTCTGAGGTCGGCAGCTGTCGGACGGAATGCCTTCAGATAACAGAGGTGTTTACCTTGATGGTCTCAGGTGGGACTCCGGGGTCGGGAGCCTTCTCAAGGTAGGTGGTCAGATCCTGGTCCACATGCTCAAAGACCAGGGTGAGTTTGGTTTCCCGGTCAGTCCGAGACACCGTGCACACATCAAACAATCTACAACAGGGGAAGGGGTAAAAACAGGGTCAGTATAACCGATCAGAAGGGGAAATAAAACAAAACAGTTGCACCCCGCTACTGCATTAACATCAAATAAAGTTAAATGAAATGTATAAAAACCTGAATGTAGAGTAACCCTGGTTAATGTGAGACGTCTTTTCTGTTACAAATCAATATGTGTGCATTATAAACAGATAAATACAAAAGCTATTTTCAACTTAAGACACAGGTCTGCGTGGATTTTTTTCCCTGAGGGGATGGTTTCTGTTAGGGAAAGTTTAACGTGGCATCTGTGAGACTTTTGTTAGACATCCACTAAATCTTTATTTGGTGTTATTACGGGTTGTTTGATTGTTAAAAAAAGACATCTTTAAGTTTAATAACACGAGAAGTAACACTTTTTTACAAAAAAGAGAAGGAAAGGGGGGAGGGGGATTTAACAAAAAATTAAGACCATCGAGCTTTGAGCACCGGGGTGAGTGGTTGTGTTTCACAGGGCAACTAACTATGGCCAAGAATCCAGATTATGTGGGCAGACCTGCCAAGGCAAGCTGGAAAAAAGCTATCCAGAATGTCCTCCTCAAAGAGCAGTGGACTATAAGCAGCATTCCTCACCAGCCACTATGACAACTACTGCTACTCTTAAAGAAAGTCGAGAGCCTTCATGCACAGGAAACCCAGACGACGGAGTACCATCAGGCCCGATGGGTAACGAGTTACTTGGATTTGATAGGACTAAGCATGGTTTTGCGAGTCGTCTGACCATTATGAACATGTTTGGAAATGAGCCAACAAAAGCAAATAATTGTGCATACCTGAGTCTACAAATAGTATCAATGTAAGATTTTTGGACATAAACACGAAGTAGCTTAATGGCCGTTGAAATAGATGATTGAAGAAAAGAAAATAATTTTGAAACTTAAATTGAGGAAATTGGCCGATAAGATCTGCGGGGAAAACCTGAAGTATTTTTATAAATGAATGCATTCATGGTTTTCTCTTTTTAACTTTTTCAGATTTGAAAACACTACAATAACTAAGCCATAATTAGTCTTTATTATGATAAAATGGGCTAAGAGAGCTACTCGATCTTTAGAAAAATAAATAAACATCCGAGAGCGTGGTGCTCCATCAGTGGACGTGGAGAGGCCAGCAGAAGTGAGATGTGATTTGTTTGACGTATCAGAAGTAGGCATGATGTCACCCAATAGAGAGCGTCCCCTTCCTGAAGCACTGAGGTTAAACGCTCCTCACAGCTTGATTGTTGGACTACAATGGGGGCTCTCAGCAGACACTGAACATATGGAATGAATAATGGACCTCATTACAAACATCCAGGGGTTGACTGGAGTTGCACAGAAGGCCCATGATTCCCTTCCGAGGACTGGTCTGCTCGGTTATGCTAGCTGGTGAGACTTTCTGATGGATTCCAGTCTTGTTTTGTCGGAAAAAATGCTACAATACATGCAGCAATACGAACATGCAGAAAAATGCTTTTAAAAAGAGGGGGAAAAGCATTAAAAAACTCAACGCAACAGATCTAAGATCCTCTAAATTGTCACTTTAGTCTCCAGCATCCAGTTCCGGCCAGCCCAACTTTTTATCCACATCGACGGAAGACCAAAATTATTTTTCATTATTCACCGATGCGTCGGAGATTTATTGTTAGAGGCACAAGGGCACCGGCCATGCCTCTGAAATATCCATTCAGAACTTCCCCTTCAGTCCCAAAGCACTCAATAATCCATAATAAAACAAGCACAAGGTCAGACCTTGGCCTGGGCCAACCTGTGACGCAGTATCCGAATGCCGTCCTGAAAATGGACAATTCGTGGCAAACCTGGGTATCCGAGACCAGAGCAGCCAGTCGAGGAGCTAAGACATAAATTGACTGCATGTAGCAGCATGAATGTAGTCATATGCAGCTCTTTCAACGAGTTCCTCTCCAATCACACTGAAGGATTGGACCTGGACAGAGCAGAACTGATATCTTATACACAGAGTGACTGCAGATCCTATGGATCCAGTCAAACTCCGGTCCAGTTTTTAGAGGTTTGCCCGTTTCGGCACACCTGATTCCCATCAATGGGCCACTAGCTGGCCTGTGCAAAGCTCAGCAATGTCAGGAAGAGATCAGATTTGATCAGAATCAGGTGTCCAGAGCCAGAAAAATGTCTAAAAACCTGCAGGACAGTGGCCCTCAAGGACAGTTTGACACCCATGTTCTACTGACAATTAAAGGAAATAACCTGATACTAAGAGTCCAGTGATATAGACAATATCTGTGATGACTACATTGGACCCTTTTTATAAGATCTGACAAACGCTGTGCAGGAATACATTTCAGACAGATATCTCATTGAGATATAAACAATTACTAACATGACACCCAGGAAGTTTCCTTTAATTATTTAGACAAAGAACTCCCAGCTTGCTGCATCTTTTAACTTGAGGTGTTTTGGTCCCTGTGCAAAATGGTTCCCGAGTTGAGTTTCATAAAATTTTCTATATCATGAGCCTGAAAGCAGAATTCGGACACACGTTTAAGAGAGCGATCCAGGTCTAACAGCCGCCTCGAGCAGGTGTCACATGGGTTCCTGAAACCCGCTCAGCACAGCCAGAACACAGGCTGGTGTCATCTCGTGAATATTTGAATTTTCACATATTAGGACTTCTCTCAGAAGGGGGGGAAGAAAGAAAAAGCTTAATGACTAACTCCAGATTTTCCCAGAAATCCTAACAGGAATCCACGTTCAAATTTAATCACAGATGAGCTTTGAAATGCAAGTCTGAGGGAAACATCTGCTTTAGTGAAGAGATCCAGGAGACAGGTGAGCTTGAACCCTGAATCTTTTTCAGATAGCAAAGCCCCATGGAGAATAATCCATAAATGGATCTCAGAGATTGGATCCAACAGCTTCTGATGAACAGAGGTAGGCATGATCAGACAGGTGTGCTCTCACTCTCACCTGGTGTCAATCCCACTTTCACCCCCCACAAAAAAAAAATAAAAATAGGACAAAAAATCATTTCAGTGCTTTCCCTGTCAAAATAAAAAAAGGTCATGTGAGCTGCAGTGAGTCCATCAAGCAGGAAGTAATGTTCAGCGTCACGTGTCTAGCTTCTCCCCAGCATTCTACACCCGTGCACCGCCCCCCTTTTCCAAAAACACAATCACACAAACGCAACGCACCTCTGGCCCCTTGGACTCACCTGACCACGTTCGGGTGCTCGTAGGTCTCCAGCTGCCTGAGCACCGCCACCTCCCGGATGGTGGAGAGAGGCATCCCCTCCTCCCCCGTCTGGACTCGGACTCGTTTTAGGGCCACGAAGCGCCCCCCGTTCTTCAGATCTCTGGCCTTGTACACCTTCCCGTAGGCTCCTTCTCCAATCTCGGCTACGGGCTCATACTGAGTACCGATGCTTTCTTTGTCCATTGTTGCTGATTCTTTTTTTTTGTGTGTGTGTGTGTGATTTTTCTTTTCCTCCCTCCTCGGCTCTCGCTGAAAATATTGCGGGGAATCCCGGAGAGGGTGACGAGCCAGCCTTTTTTTTTTTTTTTCTCACAAAGACATATTCACAGACAAAAGTTGGCACGTGCGATGCCTAGATGACAAGGGGAGACACAGATGGAGGGAGAGACCATCTTTTGTCACATTTGCTGAAAAGATAACTCCAGGTAGGCATGAACAGGGCTGTCATCGTGTTTTTATTCCGGCTATCCTCCTCCTGTTACGCATTATACGGCCCATGTCCTCCTACCCCCGGAGCCACAACCGGGGGACAAAATCATTCAAATTCGGCCACGTTTAACTGCATTTTTTAGGACCGATCTGGCGTCAGATTGCGTCTTTCTGCCAGTAGAATAAACCCACACGCGCAGTTGCGTTGTCGGACCCACGTCCGCGTGAACTTTCCCGCAGTCGTTAAAGCGATTTAAAAACGAAAAGGGGGAAAAACCCACGCGTAAAAAAATTGGCACGAACTGGCACGCAGAAGGTTCGCGGGGTGTTTCGCAAAGCGCCGACCGGGGGGCAGAGCGTTCTGGGAGAGGAGTTTCTGTTTGAGGAGACCCAAAATTGTGAGCACGTGCTGCATTGTCTGAACTTCCTACAGCAACAAACCTCCTAAAACACGCTCAAACTCGCCCTTTCCGTCCCGAAACGGCTCTAAATGCGTAAAACGGCGCCCTGGCTGAATAATCCCGATGTTTTCATTAGCTGGGAGGGCGTCTCTGAATTTTTTCCAATTTATTTCTGCGTGGACTCCATAATAATAATAAAAAAAAAACGAGCTAAATTGTGGCAAATCTGTGAACTCCGCGTGCCTCGGGTTGAAATGTCCCTGTATTGTAACGCGTCAATTTTAGCGTTTTTTCAATGTTATTTCTTTGCTGTCAAATTTTGCAAAAAAAATACAACTTTCCCCAATTTTTTTTTTTCTTTTTTACCTTGTTGCGCGTCGCCTGTGAAACGTCGTAACGTCGGCATGGCAGGCGGACTGCTGAGGAGGCGTTCGGCGTAAAAACTCCTCCATCAAACGCATCCCCGGCCGCTGTCCTCCATGCGGGGGCCACACAGGTAGTTGACGGTGCAGACTCTAACCCCCATCCCTCAAACTGCACCAACCCGGGCTGAGAGTCTCAAGCGAGA